AGTATTTGGCCAATGTTATATCTCAGCCAAACATTCTGGATAAATAATAATAATCCTTGCATTTGCTATAGCGCCTTATCAAGTCTTTGAGACATCTCAAAGCGCTTCACAGAATATACTGTGCCGACTCTTTGAAAGAGCTACCAACTAGTCCCACTCCCCCACTCTTACTCCAACTAGTCCCCCACCCCTGCTCTTACCCCAACAGTGAGAAAGCTGGTTTAGATTTGGTTAATAGGGAGACAAACACCAGGAATGGATTGGTGGCATAGTTGGTTTCTATGAGTTTGGAGGGAAATTACCTTTTCTCATTTCTTCTGTTAATTTCCATTCCTGTCACTGCTACAGTGCTGGGATCTTCTGCAGTAACAGCCTCTGATTTAATGAGTTTCCTCCTTCACTCTGTACAGACCCTAAATCACTGTTTGTCGTCTTCCCAAAGGATTTGTCGGCTGCTCTTCCCCTACAGTAAACCTCAAACCATTAAGATCTAACCACATGCCCCTGACACACACCTCGCCCATCCCCTGTATCAGCCTGGGGGAGGGTGGGTCTGAGCCCGAGGAGGGGGTGAGACGTAACAATAGAGAGTCTGTGAGATGGGAGGAGTATGTAAATACGGACGGGTGGTGAGCCCAGAGAGATTGGGTGGGGGCTGAGCCCAGGAAGGGAATGGGGGGAGTGGGGTGTAAATCCTGGGAGGGGTGGAGGGGCTGTAAATGTTGGTGTGGGGGTGTAAATACTGGGGGATGGGGGTGCAAATGCTGGGGGAGTATAAATGCTGGGGGAAGGGTGGTGTAAATGCTGGGGGAGGAGGGGGTGTACATGCTAGAGGAGGGGGGGTATAAATGCTTGGGGGGGGGTGTAAATGTTGTGCGTAGCGGCAGTGTCTAACTGCAGAACCTTGCAGCTGCTGGTTTTCATTATTTAACACAAACCTGCGTGATGGGACTTGGTGTTTGCTGTTATTTAACGACCTTCTCTCAGGTCCTGGTCTTATCCTGGGAGCTGGCGGTCAGAGACGAGACCGCATTCTGACCTGAGGTGAGAACAACCAGAACAATTCAGCCCGTTCTCTGTGAGTGTGTCAGGTCAGACAGACAGCACCTCCCTCTGCCTCTCAATAGCTTTTTCTACCTGCCCTCCCACCATTACACAGTGCAGGTGGGAGAGGCCAATAAGAGGTATCTGCCGCCTATCTTCTGTGCTGTAAATGTCTATATTCTATGATTTAGGTTATTTTCTGTTACATGAAGGACTTGCTCAGCAGCTCTCTCTAGTGGCCAAGCCTCAGATGGAACAGATGGAGATTCCAGAGAACATCAGTTGCATGTTGGCAAGAGCGAAGCTTGGGACAACAATCTGGATCATTCGGCAGCACAGAGCCCAGAGTCTTAAGGTTGAGGGTTCAAGCCTCACATCAATACTTTGACCTCTGACACAGCAGTGCAGTGCAGTGCTGGGGGGGCGTTGTCAGAGGTACAATACAATACAACACTACATTTACATAGGAACTGTTCTCTGTAAGGTGCTAAACCAAGGCTCCGTTTGAGCTGGTTCAAGGAGACATTATAGATCTCACAGCACTATTCACAAAGAGAAGGCAGTTTTTAGCAAATCCCGTGAAGCACTTTGAAATGTCCTCTGACGCTATATCAAATGCAAGGATTATTATTACTAAAACTGAGACAAATAAGGAAAATAAGGAGGAGAGTGACTTGATTGGCATTGCTGATGGGGAATGGGGGCTGTGGAGGGAGAGTGCCTTGGGGCTATTTTAACAGTGAAGCTTGGACCTGATAACAACAGAGCCTTTGCTAAGACTTGTCTACCGAGAGCTGTAATTCTACAACCTGATGGTAGGCAGCTAAAAGGCATAATTCTGTATCTTATCCATTTAATTACTATCCTCTGCACTAACTCCCTGTGAGCAAACCCAGTGCAAAGACAGCAGAAAGAGCTCCAGACAGGATTGATTGTGAACTGCCTCACATCAGAGACCCTGCCATCCTGCGACGTTCCAGAGACTGTTGGCAAACATTGGGAATTTCTGACCATCATCAAGAGGAGTTAGCAGTTCAAAGGTCACAGAGTCAGACTTCAATGTGTTTCAGGACCAAAGCCTCATTCCACAGCTGAGATGTGTGGCTGGGATTAGTGTCACTGTGCAGCTCATCCTGAGTACAGTAGCAAGCTATGTTTTGCATGAGTCCCAGGGTTATGGCTTCCTGGCAACCTGTTCCAGTTGTTAATTACTCTCTGGGAATTAAATATTTCTCAGTATGTGCCCTGAAATCTCCTTTGCAACTCTAAACATCTTGTCGTGCTGTCTTGGTACATTCTAATATATTGTTCGGGGTTTATGGCTTTGGTTTCATGGCTGTTTTATGGAACACCAAATACAGTCACTCCACTTTATAGTATATCCTGTGTAGCACTTTGAGACATCTCAATGATGGGATAAGGCACTATATCAAGTGCAAAGATTATTATAATAATTGTTGTTATTATTTACTTTCTCATTCCCATTTAAAATGTTACATACCTCTAGAAAGCCCACTCTGAGATGTCATCTAAGACTGAACAGGTGTCTGGATGAGGTGCCCTGAGCTGGGAGGAAATTAGTTGGAAATTATGGATGATAAGATCTCCTGAACCTCTCTCTTGTTGGCCTCTTCAAATTTCTACTTGATTGATTTCCTCCTTCCTCTTCCCAATCTCCTTGGTGTGCTGCACAGTGAACTTTGACCCTGCACCTGGGATCCTTAAATAAATATTAATTTAACAGATGGGAAGCAGCCAATCAGAAGTAGATGGTGGTGAGGGTGGGGAGAGCTGACTTTTTCAAGCAAATTGACTTCTTCCAACACTTGGGGTTCAGAGTGAAAGGACTGAATTTTCTCCATGTTTAACCTGAGATGTGTGACATGTGTCTCCTGGTTACTATTCCCCTGGGGTGGAGGGAGAAGAGGTGCGCAGACTGGCTGGCAGAGGGGGTGGGTGGGGGGCAGAGGAGTCAATATTATAATTCATTTTAAAATCACCCTTATATTTTAAACTATCTCAGAGGATTTTGTGCTGAGATTATTTCCTTATAGAGGGTGGAGGGAATGTTGTATTCTCAGCCACAGAAACAGACCTTGAGGCCAGACTTACTTCATGGATTGTTTTAAAAGAGAATTAGGTGGATGCTTGAAAAGAGGAATGTTAAAGTTCCTTTCTAAAATAATCCATGGACTCTGCTTCAAATGCAGTTTGTACAGCGAATTCTGCATTCCATCCCCAACCCTAGGGCTGATGATCCTCAGACAGGTTCTAACTTGAAGTTAAGATCCACCTGGGACTAAATCTACTCTGTTGTAAATTTACTCCATTATTAATGCAAATTTTGGAGAGTCCAGAATTTGTCAAATTCTTAGACAAACTTTCATTTTGAAGCTGGTTTTCTGTAAATTATTTTATGAACTACAGGAAAAATAACAAAAAAAAAATTGTAAAAGAGAATCTGCTTGTTGGTCGATGGGTGGATCGCTTTCCAGGGGTAAATAATCCAGTCATCTGTGTGAACATCCTCATTATCTTTAAACCAGTTAGAAAAAATGAACAACGCTTCTCATACTGGGGCAATCAAGGGGGAGGGGGAGGGGGGGGGGGGGGGGGGTAGAAGGGACAGTCAAAAACATTTGAATTACTGATGCCCAGTTGGATGGTCCTGTGTTTGAGAGGCAGGTGGCAGTCAGGTAAACATTGGAGGTCACAAATGGATTTATTTCATTCTTAATTACTTTTTGGTCAACCAGATATCAGACATGTGTGGAAACCCATGCTTAGGAGTCTCCAAACCAAACTGAGAAGTCTAATCCATCCCACCTACACACCGAAATTCCAGAGATATTTAATGTAACGGATGTTGCACTCTCTCCCTTGAGGGACTCATTTTGGTTACCTAATTCTAGAGAAGGTTGGCAAGCCACAAGGCTTGGGGACCTCAGAGTGCTCGTTGGGGAATTGCTGGAGTCTAACCAGCTGAAACCTCATACCTTGCCATTTTGAGCATGGTCTGGCAAGTTTCCTGCTGCTTGTCCAACAAGGACCATCCTACACATCAGGGCTTTGGTTTGCTGGGATAACGGGAGCTGGGGAATGGGTTGGGGAAGGGGGCTGAGGGAAGGTGGCTGGGAGCCTGGCTGTGCGGTGGGTGTGGGGGGGATGGGTTGGCTGGATGTTGGGGGGTAGCTGAGGCCGTGGGAAATGGGGGGAAATTTTCAGGAATATTTTTGTAGGAAATTGTTTCCCTCTGAAAATCTGCTCAGGGCAATGCGCCGGCGATGGATGGAGGAACCGAACTAACACTAACGTCAGTGTATCAGCCAATGTCTCCTGAACCCGCGCCACGTCTCCCATCGCTATCACCTCAGATGCCTTTTGCGGGTTGGTCTGAGTCTCACTCTCTCTCGCCGCTAAACTGCCGGTTCCTCGCTTAGTGTCTGCGGCAGGTTTAGCGGCATCTGGGTCTATGTTTGTGCGCAAAAAAAACTCCGTACACTTTAGTTGCTGCGGTTTGTTTGTGCGGCGACTTTACACATTTACTTCTTAACGCAAGTTTGTGAAGCGTCCTGGGGAATGTGTGGGGGGGCTCACTGGTCGGGGCTCGGGGCTGCTAGTTGGGGAAGACTGGAATGAGGGGGGTAATTATACGGGGAGGGCTGGGTTCTGAACCTGGGCACGGAGGAGGGGGTTGATGGCTGGGAGGGGGGGGTGTGGGTCTGAGGGGCTGGTGGAGGGCTGGAGGCCGGGCTGGGGGCAGGGCTGAGGGACGGGTCTGGGCACGGGGGGCGGGGGCTGGACCTGGGGGTGGGCTGGGGTGGGGGTGGTTAGCTGGGGGCTGGGGGGGTAGGGTTGGGGAGGGCTGGGGGCGGAGACTACCCAAAGGGGGAGGGGGGAGACCCCGCCATATAACAGCTGGAGGTGTGGAGCAGACGGTGTGAGTTGCTGCCGGGGACCAGGTCGCTGCTGGACGTTAGTTTTCCCGTTCGCCAGGTTTTGACTTTATGCCGAGTCGGTGTAGTGACTGTGGAACGTGTCCGGCTCGCGCTCTGCGCATGTGTCACTGTTAGAAATGTTCAGGATGGAGACACGGACATTCGCGCTGTTCGCAGCCTCACAACTCCTCGTCCTCGTCGCGGTCACAGCGCAACACACCGACACCTGTAAGTTCATCCCAGTCATTAAGGCATTTTGTCGGATGTCATTTCACCGCAATATTCCTCATGGAGACAGAGAGAGAAAGTGCAGAGTGACCAAACAGCTGTGGTACCATTTGCAATGTCTAATAAGTTTTAAAGAACTGATGGTATTTTTGTTTTGGATAATAGGATAGTTATCACGACTTTTTGATTACCCTTTATAATGGGAAAATGGTAAAAACCTGGAGAATGGGTTTTGAAATGATTATGTAATGTGTTGATTTCCCTGGGATGTGTGTGTGTGATGGGCTGTGTATGTGGGTGTGTGTGTGTGATGGGCTATGTGTGTGATGGGCTGTATGTGTGATTAGCTGTGTGTGTGATGGGTTGTGTATGTGTGCGCGTGTGTGTGTAATGGGCAGTGTGTGAGATGGACTGTGTGGGTGTGTGTGATGTGCTGTATGTGTGTGTGATTAGCTGTGTGTGTGATTAGCTGTGTGTGTAATGGTGCGTGTGTGTGTGATGGGGTGTGTGTATATAATAGGCTGTTTGTGTGTGTGACGGGCTGTGTATGTGGGTGTGTGTGATGGGCTGTGTGGGTGTGATGGGCTGTGTGGGTGTGATGGGCTGTGTGGGTGTGATGGGCTGTGTGTGTGTGATGGGCTGTGTGTGTGTGTGTGTGATGGGCTGTGTGTGTATGTGTGAGATGGGCTGTGTGTGTGTGTGTGTGATGGCTGTGTGTGTGTGATGGCTGTGTGTGTGTGTGATGGGCTGTGTGTGTGTGTGATGGGCTGTGTGTGTGTGTGTGTGTGTGTGTGATGGGGTGTGTGTGTATGATTGGGGCTTTGGGGATCTCTATATCCCCGCAGGAAGATATGAACAGTAACCACAGCAATTGGGAAATAACTCCGCCAAGACTTTAGGAAACATTTTTGAAAGTTTAAAGTGTTTGTGAAACACCGGGAAACAGTTTCTAGGGACTCAGCCCGTGGGTGTGTGTCTCTCCCTCTCTTTGTGAGTGCGAGATACCCACACACCTGTGCATATCTGTGTCCTATGTCTGCGTTTCGGTCTCTGTGTCTGTCTATGTGTTTGTGTCTTTCTCTCTCGCTGTCTGTCTGTGTGTATGTGTATCTCTGTGTCTTCTGTGTATTTGTGTATGTCTGTGTGTGTCTCTCTCGCTCTCCTCTCTGTCTTTGTGTGTGTGTGTGTGTGTGTCTATCTTTCCCTCCCTCTCTCTGTCACTGTGTGTGGGTGTGTATCTGTCCCTCATCTTTCTCTGTGTCACCGTGTCTGTATGTGTCGGTGTGGAAATCACAAGAACATATTACAGGTAACTGTTCTACTGGTTTGTGACTCTGATCCCCTTGTGCAGTGAAAAGCTGAGATTTCAGGCATTTTGAGGATTTAAATTCCTTCAGATCTGCACAGGATCCTGTTCCTGCAGTTTCATAATTATAATATCATCATCAATCCCAAAGTGGTCTTGATCTGTTTGTTCGCTTTGAATTCATAGCGTTCGAAATGTTAAAACCTTTTGAAAACGTGTGGAAATTTCCGAAAGTAATTGTATTTGATGAACTTTTGTGGGGGAAGGAATGTCTAGATTCCTGAGCCGGGCCTCAAATCAGGAGAATAATAGCCCCATTGAGAGGTGGGGGGTGGGGGTCCAGGAATGTCTCGTCTAAAGGTTTGGCAATTACAGCCCAACACGGGCACAGAGGCCAGGGAGAGAGATAGAGAGAGGTAATAGAAAGTGTTATAAAGATTGATGGGTGACAGTGCGAGCGGTTGGGGGAGTGCAGAGGGGCCCAGACTCGTCTCAGGCACATTCCTGTCCCAACACCCTGAGCGCCTGTCATTCCCATCAGCACAGACACCGCGCACAGGCACAGAGACTTACACACAAAGGCCCAGAGAGAGAGACACAGACCCAGAGAGAGAGACACACACACTTACACACAGACCCAAAGAGAGAGAGACACATACACACACAGACCCAAAGAGAGAGACACACACAAGGCCTAGAGAGAGATGGACACAGAGAGGCTGGGACAGGCACAGACAGAGAGAGAGAGACTGAGAGACAAACATACACACACAGGTACAGACACCAAGCGAGATTCACGCACTCAGACAGACAGAGAGACAAACACAGACACAAAGAATTAAGCTGATAGACACACAGGGGCACAGAGAGAGGCACAGATACAGACACCAAGCGAGATTCTCACACACTCAGACAGACAGAGAGACAAATACAGGCACAGAGAGTGAGGGTGACACACACACAAAAAAAACAGATACAGATACACGCGGAGCGCATTCTGCAGGAATTAGCTGTAATGAAACATCCACAGAATCCCAACTGAAATATTTTGCGTCGATTAAACTTGCCATTTTTTATTTTCACTTATGTTATCTAACGTTATAAACGTGTCAGATTAGAATGGGGGGGGAGGGTGTATGGCTGCAGGTGCTGAAGCGGGTTCTATATGATGGTGAGGTTGGAGTTATGTGTAATTGGGTTCCTCACACCTCAAAAAGGCGCCAGATTTTTGGTCCCTGAAAATCTCCGGTTACTTTGTCTTTTCATCTCCTTTTACCGTCCACAGTGGGTGAGAGGCCACTCACACCAGCTTCTGGCTGCAGTGAACTGGTGCCCCCTTCACACATACACACACACAGCTCCCTCCCCCCCACCACCACACACAGACCCCCTTCACACACAGCCCCCCCCCCCCCCCCCACGCACAGTGTGTGTGTCTCGGGGTGCACTCGAGGTGCGGCGCTGTCCATTACAACGTGTTTGCAAAATGCCAATTACTACTCGGTCCAAAATTATTTGAGTTTTGAAATATTCCACAGTAGCTCTGGCACCGGGAACCGCTCCACAGGAAGCAGAAGGCTGACGGCTGTTGGCTTGATATTGCAGACTTGGAAGTTACTGATTAATCGCTTTTTAATTTTTTTTTCGAAATATCAGTTCATTCGAGGATCTAAAAAAAACATAACCAGTTACACAAAGGTTATCTTAAATTGGAAATTAAGATGAAATAATCGTGTCTCCTCATTCGGTTTCCAATAAGTTGGGACATTTTATTACTGCAAGTTATGTTACCTCTGAAGTACGCATTGGAATGTGCCTGAGCTGTGAGAGACTTGTGAATGATGCTTTGTGTCTCTGTTTGCTGTAGAGACGCGGAGACTGAGAGCAATGTGTTTGTCGATTGATTGCAATTCGCTGCTATTTATTTAACCTGATCCCACAGCGGCCCTGTGTGTGTGTGTGTGTGTGTGTGTGAATTGAGAATGAGATCCATTCATTCCAAGTCAGGGTCCATCGGGCTCACACATCCCCGACCAAACCTGAACACAGGACCTGATAAAAACCGTCAATGCATTTAGTCTGCGAGCGTTCACATTTATACCTTTTTTATAAAGAAAGTAACTGGAAGAAAACATTTATCTAACGGCATTGTTTAAAATGCTGGACTGTACATTATCAGCCAATTTAATAAATATAATAATTACAATCCTTGCATTTGATACAGCGCCTTATCACGTCTTCGAGACGTCTCAAAGCGCTTCACAAGATATACTGTAAAGTGTAGTGACTGTATTTTGCGGGCGAAACGAGGCAGCCAATTGTGCAAAGACGGTGCATTTTAGACATTGTTCTTGCTTTTGGTTTCTGTGCTTGTGGCTGCAGAGGGGAATTACGAGGTATTATAACTAAAAACTCGTAAATGCAGTAATTTAAATTGCTGCAAATCAGTGATTTATTGACTGATTTGACAGGAATTTAACCCAAGGCAACATCTCCCTCTCCTGGGCCACCTGTCAAACTGCATCTCAGGGCTGATTCTATGAATGAGGTTTTATTGCGGATATTTCCCTACACCTCCTGCCTGGGTTTATCTTATTGTTATTGTTGTGAGGAATTAACACACATGCTCTCGGCAAACACCTCCACGGGCTGTTTCTCGGGTGTTTAATTGACCAGAACTGAATGTAGTAAATGCAACTGTGATAATTGTGGGGGGTTTTGGCTTGTAAACTGAACAATATGCAATATTTAATTTAAATATGAAAATTCTTTAAGGAGTAAATGTGTTTGCTGCTTATTGTTTTCTAGTGTATTTTGTTTGTTATTGTAGACTAATTCCTAACTTCTCTTTCTCTCCTCTCCACTGGGGAACAGCGGATTTAGTCAGCTGTGTGCAAGGTGGACAGCTGTATAATGACAAAGATGTGTGGAAGCCAGAGCCATGTAGAATCTGTGTGTGTGACAGTGGGAATATCCTCTGCGACGAAATCCTCTGCGAGGAGCTTAAAGATTGCCTTAACCCCGAGATACCCTTCGGAGAATGCTGTCCTGTCTGTCCCAGCGAGCGAATCCTGACCAGCGGTCTTAATTTATTTATTTACTCTTTACATAAATAAATTACTGTCAATCCCATTGATGGACATAATCCCCCAGTTTCTGCCTGGACAGATTTGTCCATCAATGGTCCTGCTGTGTAGTAGAAAAAAAGATGACATCTGCATTTTACTCTTTGCTGTCTCTTGTCACAGCTTTTGGCAGTGTTCAAAGCCCCCAACGCCCACCCCCCCCACCAACCTTCTCACTCACCCCTGCCACTCCCACCCCCCACCCTGCCATATAGCTCCCCCCCACCACCACCACCCAGCACCAGGCTGGAACCTCCTGCCCACACACCGCAACCCTGATTAGTCCTGAATCCTGGACAAGGTGATAAGGAAATTGCCACCTCGTACTTTGGCAGATTAAAATATTTCTCCATAATTATGCTCCCACCACCTTGTGTGTGTGTGTGTGTGTGTGTGTTTGTGTGTTGAGTGTGATTATGGGTGAGTGAGTGCGTGAGGGTCTGTGTGTAAAAGTGTGTGATAGATTATGTGTGAGTATGTGTATGTGAGTGAGAGTGTGTGTGTTTTTGAGTGTGTAAAAAAAAATGTATATGTGAGAGTGTGAGTGAGTGGGTGTGTGAAAAGAGTTTGTGAAAATTTCCGTATATGGATTGAACAAGTTATTAATTACCAGCCAGTTATTTCAAAGCCAAGTTATTACACAGTACAATTATTACTCCACCTTGTCATTGCAATAGCTAACTATTACTCCACTCAATTATTACTCCACTCAATTATTACTCCACTTGATTATTACCAGCCCAAGTATTACTCAGCCAAAATATTACCTGGTGTCACACAGGTTTCTCAATATCTCAGCCCCTTGTTACTCTACCCGATTGTTACACTGGACCCTGTGTAACTCAAGTGCTTTGAACATTGCTACTCTCTGTCACTTAATCCAAGAAGCAAAGAGAATTAAAAGATTTTATTGTCAAATCAGATGACGCCTTTTTGAAGACACATTTGCCGTTGATGTTATGTAAAGTTTTGCCATGTGATGCGCCGGGCGCTGCAGCAGCTTATTTGCTGATTTTAAAAAATAATAATTATTATTTCTGAGCTACAATTAATTGTTATCGGTATCTGCTTCTTAACAAAAGAATTTGCTGCCAGGATTGAATGCACATACACATGTCCACTCACACTCACACGCCCACTCACACTCACACACACGTGCACTCACATGCACACTCACACACACTCTCACACACACTCATTCACTCACACACACATTAAAAATAATTATTATTTCTGAGCTATAATTAATTTTTATCGGATATCGGTATCTGCTGCTTCTTAACAAAAAAATTTGTGTGAGGATTGAATGTGGACACCTGATGTGAGTGCCTGATGGGCAAACTCCAGGCTGGAGTCAGAGGTCAGAGTTACCTGACATCCAAAGTGTCAATGCTTCCCATCAGGCACTCAGCGAGAACCTCTTAGTCTGTTGTGTGTCATGCGCTCTGGGAAGCTACCCCATGTGAAGGCGCTATATAAATACAAGTTATTTTTGTTGTTGTGTTTGTTTCTGGATTTTACAGTAACTCGAGACACTTTGTGACTTGTTTCTTTTCCTTCCTCAAAACAGGGCAAGGTGTTCAGGTAAGAAGTTGTTAATCATTGCGACTTTGAGAGGGGAATCTCAGTGTGAGGAGGGAATGTGAAGGTGCCAACATGAGCCCTGGCCTGGGGGAAGGAGGTGGAGCCAGGGGAGGGGTGGGGGAAGAGGGAGGGTGGGAGAGGGAGGGAGGGAGGGAAGGAAGGGGTGGAGAGAGGAAGAGGAGGAGGGGGGAGAGTGGAAGTTGGGGAGAGAGGGAGGGTGAGTGGGAGTGAGGGAGGGGTTGGGGGTGAGAGGGAAGGACATTGAACGACACTTTGGAGACTGAACATGAGCGCTAACCAGCAGCAGCACATTTGATATTATTTTTCATGATGTTACTGTCTGTTAACTAAACTATTGACAGGAGCCATTGAAAAGGGTTAAAAACTAACTCCAATCCATTTTACTACAATCTATTCAGGGGCAGAAAGGTGAACCCGGGGACATTAAAGATGTAAGTCGAACGTCTACTTTAATATAAATAACAAAATACTCCTGTCGTTACATGGGGAGAATCATCTGCATTTGATTACTTTGCTGTCACCCGGAGGCTGGGGTTAAGGGATTTGTGTAAAACACTGCAACACATTGTTTACAGTCTCAGCAACAGTTTATATAAAGTCAGAAGAGAAAACTGCGCTTGTGAATAGTCACTAATGATGCTCAATCTGTGTAGACTTTGCTAACTGTCTGAGTCTGGTTAATGGCAGCCAGGCTCCTATCGCACATTGCCAGTGGCTAACTGTCCCTCTCTCTCCCTCCCTCCCTCCCTCCCTCTCTCCCACTCTCTCTCTCTCTCTCCGCTTCCCAGGTTGTTGGACCACGAGGACCTCCAGGCCCACAGGTAGGTGCTGTCACATCAAACATTGGCTCCCGAACCATCCCGAGCTGTGCCTGTGGCAGCCGCTGATCTCTGTCTCTGTCTCTGTCTCAGGGGCCACTGGGAGAGCAGGGACTAAGGGGATCACGTGGCGACAAAGGCGAAAGAGTGAGTCACACCCTTTACCATCAATAATAATAATAAATAATAATAACCCTTTACACAATGTCACTCTGCTCCTATACCCCAACTTTGACACTGTCTGTCTGTCTGCTACAGGGAGCAACTGGCCCTCGTGGTAGAGATGGTGAACCCGGAACTCCAGGCAACCCCGGCTCGGCCGGCCCCCCAGGCCCACCAGGCCCCCCAGGCCTTGGCGGAGTGAGTATCATCAGCTTCTCACACCCGACATAATACTTCCTATTCCACAAAGAAAGAAGTTGCAGTTTCATAGCCCCTGATACGTTGGAATATCACAAAAACACTTACAGGTCCCTGGGTCAAGTGTAGTGACCGTTTTTGCAGCAAGAGCGCTGGTCTGGGTCAGTCAGATCCCAGTAGCTGAGTTCAGGGTCACACCCATTCCTCACGTGCGATTCCCTTTGAACCAGGGAGATTGCTGTGAGATGAGATATTCACCGACTCCAGAAGGTCTCGGGAATATTACTCCCAATGTGAAGTATGCAATGTGCGAGTCAGAGCAAGTGTCAGGCAATTCTGATAGACAACAGGAGTGGCTCAGCATCTCATGCTGTCTGTTGCCAGGCAACGAGAAGAGGAAAGATCGAAATCCAGGGTCCAATGCCTCTGGATATTCCTCTCCCTACAAAGATCCTCACAGTTGCTTTGCCCTAACAGAGAGCAGCAACTGGCTGTAGAAATGTGTGTTTCTTTACAGGGTAGCAGTGTGTGTTACTTTATATTGTAGTAATGTAGGTTACTGTACAGTGGGTAGCTATGAGAGATTTAAGTGGTCAGATCTTTTTTCATTGAAGATGGGAAGGTTAAAGTCCTGTTTAGGTCTTTATGATAATGAAAGGTTATGAGAGAGTAACCTAATCCATTGCACGCCCACCCCCAGCGAGTCTGCTCTCAGCCAGAATATAATTTGAACGCTTTCTCATGTGAGGTCACATTCATGGAAGATACACCCACATCAGTGAGACACAGTGAACATGAGAGTTAGTCACACTAAGTGTGAGGTATACAAGAGTGAGCACAGTGCACAAAGAGACATAGTGAACTTGGTACACACGAAAGAGAGTGATGGTGAGTGCAGTTCACATGAGACACAGTCAAAATGAACACTATCGTTTCTGCTCCAACAGAACTTTGCTGCTCAGATGGCACGAGGATTTGATGAGAAAGCAGGAGGTGCGCAGTTGGGTGTGATGCAAGGACCAATGGTAAGAAACGTTCGCATCGATTGAACCAGCTCATGTGTGACTGCTTATCCAGTGACATTGAATCATTCGCTGTCACATGAAGACATTTCTTGGAATGTCAAATTGCCTGAAATTAAAGATTGGACCATTTCTGGTAAAAGAGAACCGTTTCTACATCAAATCAAAGTATCTCAAAAAGGATTCACAAGTAAATATTCCTAAGCGTAGTGACTGCATATGCCTAGAAAATTGATATCGCTGTCTGGCAAGCTTTCCTCCTACTTGTCCAGCTAGGACCACCCTACTCGTTAGGAGTTTTGGTTTGCAGGATTAACAGGAGCTGAGTGGGAGGATTTCCTGCCCCAAGCGACTTGTCGCCCCTTCCAGGTCCTGCCAGTGAGCCAGGCTGGGCTGTGCTGTCCCCAGCAGTGAGTGCCCTGGAATACTGCAGCCCATCCTGGCTCAGGAACCGGTCTAACAACCCACACAGAGGGCTGTCTCTAGTTCTGACATTTCATTAGCAAACATGTCACCTTGGAGCCATGTGTTGGCCGAGCTTTCCACTGAAATGTCGCTGCTGAAGTCACTTCCTGTCTTTTGTTCATTGGTGACCTGATAATTGGCCATTTTTCCTTCAGTGGGAAGCGGGGAGCGAGCTGGCTGGCCAGATTAATCCCTGAATTGATGCTTCCTGGGGATTTTATGGATTCCAATTACAATACTCATTTTACCTGTTCTGTGCTACATTGAACTACCAACTATCCACTCCCATTCTCAGTCAATACCTACTCAGAAGTGGTGCTGCTCCTCTCCTCCTGTGTATAACTAAATACATTGACAGCTTCTGGGGACAAATCTGAATTGCCAACACACAGTCACACAGGGATAAACCCACAGGGACAGACACGCAATCACACAGGGACATACAGACATACAGACACACAGGGACTGACACACAGACACACACACACACACACACAGTGACACAGACGTACAGTCACACAGGTAAAGGCACATGTGCACAGACGTACAGACATACAGATACAAAGGTATACAGACACACACACACAGGTACACAGACACACAGGTAGACAGACACACACACACAGGTACACAGACACACAAACACACACACAGACACAAACACACACAGGTACACAGACACAAACACACACAGGTACACAGACACAAACACACACAGGTACACAGACACAAACACACACAGGTACACAGACACAAACACACACAGGTACACAGACACAAACACACACAGGTACACAGACAGGTACACACACACACAGGTACACACACACACAGATACACACACACAGGTACACACACACAGGTACACAGACGTACACAGACACACACAGGTACACAGACACACACACAGGTACACAGATGCACACACACAGGTACACAGACGCGCACACAAACACAGAGGTACATAGACACACACACATGTATGCAGACACACACACACACAAGTACACAGACACATGCACACACACAAGTACACAGACACACATGTACACAGACGTACACACACACACACACACAGGTACACAGACACACATACATAGGTACACACACACACACAGGTACACAGATACACACACACACACACACGTATACACACACACGTACACAGGTACACACACACAGGTACACACACACACACACAGGTACACACACACAGGTACACACAGGTACACAGACACACACAGGTACACACACAGGTACACAGACACACACAGGTACACAGACACACACAGGTACACAGACACACACACAGGTACACAGACATACACACAGGTACACAGACACAGAGGTACGTAGACACACACACACACAGAGGTACGCAGACACACACACACAGGTACACAGACACACATGTACACAGACGTACACACAGATACACAACACACACACAGGTACGCAGACACACACACGCAGGAACACATACACACACAGGTACACAGACACAGTACACAGACACACACACAGGTACACAGACACACAGGTACACAGGCACACATACACAGGTCAAAGATACACACGCACAGTACATAGATATACATGCACACACACAGATCACAGACACAGTACAGAGATACACACACAGGTATACACACACAGGTACACAGACACACAGGTACACAGATACAGTACACAGACACACACACAGGTACACAGACACACAAGTACACAGACACATAGGTACACAGACATATGCACAGGTACACAGATACACATGCACAGGTATACAGATACACATGCACAGGTATACAGACACACAAACACAGGGACACAGACATACACACATACAGGTACCCACACAGGTACACAGGTACATGCACAGGTACACAGACTCACACACACAGGTACACAGGTACAGACATATACACTCACACACACAGGTACAGACATATACACTCACACACACAGAGGTGCAGACGTACACGCACACACAGGAACTAACTGGTTGTTTGTTTACAGGGCCCCATGGGACCTCGAGGACCTCCAGGACCCACAGGAGCTCCCGTGAGTATCCATATTTTTTCTGCATTTATAACAAAACCAACAACTTGTAGCATCCGTCAGGTGGGATAGTGCCTCACAGGGTATATTTGATTAATTACCTCATAGAAAGGAAACTGACCACAAAAGAGGTTCAGATGAAGAAGAGCCTTTGATCTATTTAATCTCATCCTTTCTGAACACCCGCCCTACCTTTTGTCCATCACAGCATCGAGCTGCTTTGTAAATGAGTCCAGCAACTGGCCTCAACAACCCCCCCACCCATCCCTTCCTGGTAACCTGCTCCCATCATTAATTACTAAATTAAAGGGTAAAGGATAAATGTGTCTTGGAATTGCTTTGCAAACCGTCAATCTGGGCCCTCTTGTTTCATATAAATGAAAGTATTGATTCGAGTTTACTTTTTCAATTGTGTTTAAAATGTTATCCTCCTCCTTGAGGTCTCTGAAACAGCTTCTTTGAAGAGCCCTAGCTTGTCTGATCATTGCTCACAGCTCATTCCTCTAACCTTGCGAGAACCTGTCACTGTGATCAGCCGGGTGTCTGACTGCGTGGAAACCCTTCACCACGCTTACGTCTATCCAAACCAGACTGAGAATAACTCGACCTACACATAGAAATTCCAGTGTTTGAATGCCAGCACCATTGCCAGCAGGTCACCTGGAGCCAGTTAAATATAATAATACTTGTCAAGTCTTTGAGAAGTCTCAAAGCGCTTCACAGAATATACTGAGACTCCACTTACCCCCTATAAGGATAATCACTAGTTGGTGACTGTAGGTGTGCGAGGGATTAATCGCTACTGTGTTCTGGTTGTGTTTGCAGGGCCCCCAAGGATTTCAAGGCTCCCCTGGAGAACCTGGAGAATCTGGTGCTGCTGTGAGTAACTCCCATAATTGTCATAATCATTCCTTTTTTTCCTGAAATGAGCCTCCTCTATCGTATACGACAGTCGAAGAGTTCACTGAGTAGTATGTGAACTCTTCGTGTTCAGAGAGTGCGCGAATAATAGTGTTCGAGTGTGAGATTAACACAGTTAGTGAGTGTAAGAGTAATATTATTTAGAGATTGGTAACATAATAGTATTTAGCGAGTGAGAGGAAGTTTGTAGTGAGTGTTAGAGTAACACAGTGGTGTTCAGCGACTGACAGTAATTGTCTGTTTGGGACGTCCTCCCGACATAAATGTAATGTTGTTGTTGTTTGTTTCAGGGACCAATGGGACCTCGGGGCCCTCCGGGGCCCTCTGGGAAGCCAGGTGATGATGTGAGTACACTGGATCCACGTGACACTGTCAGACTGTTCAGAGACTCTCTGAGAGCTTTGAGGTGATTAACGATGTGTTGACATTGTTCCCCCGTAGGGTGATGCTGGCAAACCTGGCAAATCAGGCGAGCGCGGACCTCCCGGACCCCAGGTACTGTGCTGGGCTGGGGGGGGGGGCACGGTCTGGGGGAGGGGGTACACTGTGCTGGGCTGGGGGGGAGGCACTGCGCTGGGCTGGGGGGGGGGGAATGCTGTGCTGCGCTGAGGGGCTGTGCTGGGCACTATACTGATATGTGGATACCAGTCTCTATAATAATATAATGATATATAATAATAATCCGTGCATTTGATATCACGTCTTCGAGACGTCTTGAAGCGCTTCACTGTAAAATGAATTAACTGTATTTTGAGATTAAAAGATATAATACACTTTACAACTTTTTTTTAATAAAAATATAAATAAATTGTGACTTTCACAGAGTGACTGAGAAACTCTCATCACCTGTCGGTCACTGGCAGCCCTCAGCCGGTCAACCTTGGATAGAAAAATTCAACCTTTTCTAAATGGATTGGATGTGCTGCTGATCATGTCCAACTTCCATCTCAGAGCATTGGCTGCCAAGCACCTCTGGACACTAGCCCACTGAGCGTCGCAATATAAATGCTTCTTGTTGTTTTGCTGATATTTTATCTCTTTTCTAAGGGGGCCCGAGGATTCCCAGGAACCCCAGGACTTCCAGGTGTCAAAGGTCACAGGGTCAGTATGTAGGTTGTCGACAGTAAAACACCACAATTTACACTTTTGTAAAATAAGTTTAGTATAATTTTAAACAATGATGTTTCTCTGTCAGATGTTAAGTCTGCTTTGTTTTGCTCCTGTCAGGGTTACCCCGGTCTGGATGGTGCTCGAGGAGAGGCTGGGGCAGCTGGAGCAAAGGTAATGGAGCCAAAGTATAAGTATACACAGGCCTGTGCTGTGTGCACACATTCCTGCTCTGTGATATGTGTGTGTGTGTACATGATCCTGCATTGTGTGTGACACGGGCCCCTGCGCTATGTGTGCACATGAGCCCGTGCTGTGAGTGTACAAGGGCCTGCGCTGCATGTGCACACGGGCCCGGGATGCTCGCGTGCACGCGGACACAAGCTCTGCACATGCACGCAGGCCCGGTCTGTGCGTGAGCATTCAGACCCAGGCTGTGCGCGTGCATTCAGACCTGGGCTGCGCGTGTGCACGCGGTCCCGGGCCCATGTGCACACAGGCTCGGGCATACGCGGTCCTTCACTGCGTGCGTGTTCACAGGCCTGCGCTGAGTGCGTGTATGCGGACCTGCGCTGCGTGCGTGTATGCGTGCCTGCGCTGCGTGCGTGTATGCGTGCCTGCGCTGCGCGCGTGTATGCGGGCCTGCGCTGCGTGCGTGTACGTGGGCCTGCGCTGCGTGCGTGTACGTGGGCCTGCGCTGCGTGCGGGTACGCGTTCCTGCGCTGCGTGCGGGTACGCGTTCCTGCGCTGCGTGCATGTACGCGTTCCTGCGCTGCGTGCGTGTACGCGTTCCTGCGCTGCATGCGTGTTCGCAGGCCTGTGCTGTGTACGCGAGTCTGCGCTGCATGCGTGTGCGCGGGCCTGCGCTGAGTCCGTGTACATGGGCCTGTGCTGCGTGCGTGTATGCGGGCCTGCGCTTGGCGTCGCTGAACTGTCACTGAAGACGATTGGAGCTATCTCACTAACTAACAGGATAGTAAGTGGTGATGTGACTAACTTGGTAACCAGGTGTACTAACCTATTGTTCTCTATCCACAGGGTGAAGCTGGTGCGTCTGGGGAGAGTGGAGCTCCGGGTCCAATGGTCAGTGTGATTGTTACCTGGTATATAAACAATAACAATGACATGTGTTTCATAATCTAATGGAGAATGGGATCGTTCAACACTCAATGTCTGTAACTCTCGCATTGCCGATGGACAATTGTATTAAAGGATGTAAATTTTGAAGCATTCTCAGTAGTTGATATGTCTGGCCAGACATTGCGACTGACAGAAGGTAACTCACTCTCTCTTGTCTTCTCTTCTCAGGGTCCCCGGGGGTTGCCTGGTGAGAGAGGTCGGCCCGGAGCCCCAGGCTCAGCTGTAAGTCAACCATTTAAACTCACCATTCGTTCCACCATCCTCCAAACCCGGGGTCTCTCTGCGAGGTATCCAGCAGCCACATAGAGTGTTGGCATCGTCTCCAGGGTAACAGCCCCCTCCCCACCCCGCAAGTGCGCATTCAGGGCTCTGTTCAGTGTCCATAGAAACAAGAGGAGGCCATTCAGGCCCTCAAGCCTCTTCCACCAATCGATTGGATCATGACTGATCTGTGCGTTGGCACCATTTATCCACCTTTGCCCCATTTCCCTGATACCCTGACCTAACAAACATCTGTCCATCTCAGTCTTGAAATTCCCACTGGCCTAACATCCACAGCGGGAGAGAAGTCCAAATTACCACAATACTTTTGTGTGAAAAAATGCTTCCTGTTTTGACTCCCAACCGGCTGAAGATGATGCCCTTGTTTTGGATTCCCCCACCCACCAGAGGTCAAAGTTTCTCTGTAGCTACCCTATCAAATCCATTTATCATTCTCAACACCTTGATTACATCGGCCCTTAATCCTCTGAGCTCCAAGCAATACAAGCCAAGTTTTTGCAACCTCTCCTAACTTAACCCTGTCAAGCCTGGTATCATTCTAGGAATCTGCACTGCACTCCCTTTCCTGAGGTACAATGCCCAAAACTGAACACAATTCCTTGAGAATCTGTAACTGAGTAGATTTTTGCTGTTCTATGAATCAATCTCTCGCTCTCTCTCTCTAGGGTGCACGTGGTAATGATGGTCTGCCTGGCCCAGCTGGTCCTCCTGTGAGTTTATTTCTTTCTAATTGACATTAAATATTCACGTCGGAGCTACAACTCAAAGCCAGTGTGCATTTTGTAAACATAAACTCCTAAACGAATAACATAAAAATCTGAATTGTAGTCAGGTCTTATTTACATGATATATACTGTTTATCTAAACTTTATGCCACTGGCCGCCAACCTTTATGGTCAGCCCACAAAATAAATTTTTGATTTACGCCATAAATCACATTTACTTAGACTCGTGCGAATGTTTGGGGGTTGGGGGAGGACTTTGACAGCCCTGCGGATCAAAGCTTGGCGCCACTGCTCCATAAATCTTTGTCAATCAGAAATCGTATGTCAATGAACTTAAGATCTTCAACACTATTGGAGTTGAGTTTGCGACAATTCCAATCTGATTCCTTAATAAGAAATCCGAGGAGTGAAGGGTGTAATGGGGTCAGAGTTCCTGAACAAGGAGAAATCAAATGAGATTCTTCATTGATGAGATTCCTTTGTGGAGATGTTTTATTGGATGCACTTGTGGAGTTCAACCACACATTGGGCCACATTGTTTTTAGGGCTTGTATCGGTTGGGGTCCCTCAGTGGCCGTGCCCCTCTGACCCTTCATGACTGGTGTTTGGCTCCAGATGAGGCTCTACAATGTTCCAACGTTAACTATTTCTTTTGTTCTCTCCTCAGGGACCCGTTGGCCCATCTGGTGCTCCAGGCTTCCCAGGAGCTCCGGGTTCAAAGGTGAGTACTGATGTTCACTAGTCACCACAAGTAATCTCCACTCACTAGTCACTGCAGGTAATTGGGATTTGCTAGTTAATTAGGTAACTCCCACTGACTACTCAGTGTAGAGAATCTCCGCTCCACAAAAATACACAATCAATCCACTTTATTATATATTCTGTGAAGCACGTTGAGACGTCTCAACAACGTTATGAGACACTGTATCAAATGTGAGGATTATTAATATTAAATCTTCATAAAACTTTCATTCTCGTATCTATAAAAGTAAAACTCCACAAAGCATGATTCCGTTTATTCTCAGTCACGGTCTCCTCCTCGCTAAAACCCCAGACGTATTCCATGGTGAATATTGCATAACACCTTGGCATGAACTCCTTTCTCAGAACGTGCAGGTAGTGCGAGGGGAGGAAGCTGCCATGAGTGACCAAGGTTTTATTTCAGCTTCACTCCCACACCAGAGCTGCACACTGTCTTGTGTTGTGGCTTCTGCTTCTTTCTGTCTTAGGTATAAATGTGGATTTTGGCTTAAAACTGAAGGCCAATGTCTCTTTCCTGGATATCTGGTTTCAGTTCTGTCCAAATGCAGCCAAAACTGTACGAAATGAACAAAGTTACTAAATATATACAAAAAATAAAGGAAAATTATATACAAATGTCTCAGTCCGTAAAACAACAGAAGATTAGAGCAGCCGGAGAGAAACTGACCCTTCTCCATTGCCCAATCCTAGCGCCCAGCCCAAGCCCGAGCCCCAAGCCCCAACCCCGGCCCCAGCCCCAGCCAGGCTGTGTTGCCAGCCCACGCTGAGCCTGAAGTTGCCAGACAGACTACAATCCTTTTCCTGCTGCTGGGAATAACATGAGTTCATGTGTCTGGAAAAGTTATTAAAAACAGGTACAAACCAGAGTGAAAGAGATTAAAAACACAGAGAAAGGGGGGGAAGAGAGAGCAAGAGAGGGATATTGATAAAGAGAGATGGAAGGGAAGCAGAGGGGGAAACGAGAGCTGAAAGGGAAAGCTTAATTGTGGGAGGTAGGAGAGGACAAAAACCCTTCAATTCTTATTTTAACAGGAATATTCGAGGCAATGAAAGAGAAAGAATTGGGGCAGGGGGGCCTGTGGGTTGTTTGTTGAATCAAGGCCTTTAAAATAGGGAATAGCCTCTCCCCAAATTCAAATACATAATATATTTAGTAACAGAAAGCTGGGATTTCAGGAGAGCGACTGTCTAAAACTCAGGTTCCTCAGATTGATATGGTGTAAGTGGTCTTATGTGTCCCCTGTGTGTGTGCAGCGTCTTTCCTACATGTAGCTCACACCCTCCAGGGTTTGAAATTAGAGTGGGAGGAGCTGGGTGTTTGAGTAGGCGGGACTGTATTTTGAGTGGGCGGGGCTGAGTTTTTTGAGTGGGCGGGGCTGTGTTTTTTGAGTGGGCGGGGCTGTGTTTTTGAGTGGGCGGGGCTGTGTTTTTTGAGTGGGCGGGGCTGTGTTTTTGAGTGGGCGGGGCTGTGTTTTTATGAGTGGGCGGAGCTGTGTTTTTTTCAGTGGGAGGCGCTGGGGTTTTTGAGTGGAAGGGATGGGGTTTTTTGAGTTGGAATGGCTGGGGGATTTCTGGGTGTGAGGGGCAGGGGTTACTGTAAGAGGGGCTGGTTTGAGAGTGGAAGGGGCTGGATTATGGTGGGTGGGGCTGGATTATGGTGGGAGGGGCAGGGTTATGGTGGAAGGGGCTGGTTTGAGAGTGGGGGTGGCTGGGGGTTGGATGGGAGGACTTGGGTTAGGGTGGGAGGGGCTTGGGTTAGGGAAGGCGGGGAAGGGTAGGGTGGGAGGGGCTGGGGTTAGGGAAGGCGGGGAAGGTAGGGTGGGAGGGGCTGGGGTTAGGGAAGGCGGGGTAGGGTAGGGTGGGAGGGGCTGGGGTTAGGGAAGGCGGTGAAGGGTAAGGTGGGAGGGGCTGGGGTTAGGGAAGGTGAGGAAGGGTAGGGTGGGAGGGCCTGGGGTTAGGGAAGGCAGGGAAGGGTAGGGTGGGAGGGGCTGGGGTTAGGGAAGGCGGTGAAGGGTAGGGTGGGAGGGGCTGGGGTTAGGGAAGGCGGTGAAGGGTAGGGTGGGAGGGGCTGGGGTTAGGGTGGGAATAGCTTCACTTGCATCAATGGTCATGGCCTCTGGTGCAGTGCATTATGGGAATGGGTTCCCTACCTGTTGATTTGCTGATCAAGAGTTTCCTGTTGTCCATAATCACCGAATCCGATCTCACTGATGTTCTCACCAACACTGCTTAGCTCAAAAATGGTTTGAGTGATATACGTGAGTGAATAGATCATCTCTGCTGTTGTTGCTTTGATGTTGTTGTTTCTCCTTGTGTTGTACTGATTTGGTTTCTCTTTCTGTTCCATAGGGAGAAGCTGGTCCCACAGGGGCTCGTGGTCCAGAAGGTGCTCAAGGATCGAGAGGCGAGTCGGGCAGCCCAGGCTCACCTGGTCCTGCTGGTGCCCCTGTAAGTACTAAACATGTTGGCTGCCCATTTCTCATTCTCATTCCCCAATGATGGCCATTCTCGTCGCTGCCCAGCTTCTGCATATGGCACAGACAGCAGGTTTCATGATTGTTATGTGCATTGCAGCCAAGTTCGATCTCATCTGGACTCAATATCCAGCAGGAAACAAAACCAAACCTAATCTTCCTCCTTGGCCCAGGAGATAAAGTGAGCTATAAACTCGCTTCTTCCCATTCCCCAGCAACAGCTCAAGCTGGAGAATGATTCTGTGTCCTGCCCCGGTATGTATGATTCATACTCCATACCAGGCCGTGCACCTGGGTGGGTTGTGTTTTGTGTTGTTGGGATGTGTTTCGATGGTTTGTGTTTTGTGTTGTTGGATTACATTGTGTTGTTTTACACTGTGCTGTGCCATGCTGGGTTAGGTGCTGCTAGGCCGGTTGTGGTTTGTCATGGTTTGTTTTGTTGGTTTGTGTTAAGCATGCTGAGATGCCACTTGCATGAAGGGCACTATATAAATGCAAATAGCTGTGTTGGGTTGGGATGTGTTATGTTGGGTTGGGTTATGTTGGGTGGGGTGGGGATGGGTTGGGAGGGTTTGGGATGGGTTGGAATGGGATGGGTTGGGCTCGGATGGGATGTGTTAATTATGACTAACATTCCCGTGATATCTCAGGTCCAGTGACGTCTGTCTCTTCTCTCCTCACAGGGTAACCCTGGCACTGACGGGATTCCTGGGGCCAAAGGCTCTACTGTGAGTACCTCACTGGCTTGTCCTATTGCTAAAGCAGATTTCAACCCCAAATCTGGCAAAATTAGTAATGGAAATCCCAAGAATCGTTTCATACAGATTATGAAAACAGATTATAACACTCCAGCCTGAAGCTGGCCATGACATGTCGGCAGCTGAGAGAGGCTCGTTGCCGCTAGCCCAGGGACACCGATGTTGGATCTCACGTTTGCTGTCAGGAGGTTTCTGGAATGTTCCATTGTGGAACATAAGATACCTGGACAAACCGAAATAGCAGACTGTCAGCTTCTGGTGAGAGTGACCTGCTCGTCTGACCTGACAGAAGCAGCATGGTTATTTCAGTCTCCGCTAGAGTTTTTTAAATTTAAATTCCAGTTTTAAAGAGGATTAAAATCCTTTTCTTATGTTACTTATTGTCACTGTCCACAAACACCCAGTTTGCCATACGGCTGCGGAGCAGCAAAGGCTCTGGTAACTGTTGAGTCACCAAGATCCTGCGATGTGAATTGACCAAATGTTGCTGTGTTGACGATGACACAACCTTCACTGAGCGGATTCTCCATTGACCGACACATGCATTGACTGGCCATCTCCGATCCACAATGGAGTGCAGGAAGGTGCAGGTTCAGTGTAGCCGTGACTAACCTCTGCCCCCTGCCCTCTGCCCTCTCCGTCTCTCCCTGTTACAGGGCGCCCCTGGCATCGCTGGAGCTCCTGGATTCCCTGGCCCTCGGGGTCCCCCAGGCCCACAGGGAGCAACAGGCCCACTCGGCCCGAAAGGTCTCCAGGTGGGTCAACAGCTGTGTATTGGAGGGGTGGTGCTGTGTTGGTGGGGGGGGGAGGGCTGTGTGTCGGGGGGGGGGGGGGGGCGCTGTGTGGTGGTGGGGGTGCGCTGTGTGTTGGTGGGGGGTGTTGTGTGTTGGTGGGGGGCGCTGTGTGCGCGGGAGGTGCGCTGTGGTGGGGGGGTGCTGTATGTGTGTGTGGGGGCGCTGCGTGTGCGCAGGCGGTGTAGCTGAGTGTGTGTGGGGGGGCGCTGTGTGTGCGCAGGAGGCGTAGCTCAGTGTGTGTGTGTGTGTGTGTGGGGGGGGGGGGGGGTGGGGTGGTGAGTACCAGGCACTAACACTCACTCACTGACAGGGTGATCCTGGCGCTACAGGATTCAAGGGAGAAGCTGGGCCGAAAGGAGAGACTGTAAGTAACGATTTTACTTTCAATTACATTTTTCTGCAAGATTTGAAAGTGAACACGAGAGTCAATGGAGGGTTTGCCTGACTGTGAGCAGACGAGGAATATCTGTGCCCTTGGTGAGGGGGTTCCTGTAGTGAGTGCTTTCCCCCAGCGCAGTGTTCAGTTCCACCTAGTTTTGGTAACAGTGGGGAGGTAGGGGGGGTCACTGGGGGAATTTTGTGCCCGTGCGGCAGTTAGTGGTGGAAAGTGCCGGCGCGGAAAGTAAGTTGGCGCGATGTTTGTGATGGGTTGGGGGCCCCGGATGCCAGGGACCCGATGACGGGACAAGGAGGTATGAAGAGATGGTGAGCAATTGGGGGGAGCTGGGGCGGGGTTGTGTTCCTATGGTAACCATACACGCATCGTTGTAAGTACTGTCCAGCGCTGTGTGACGTCCCTCCTGACAGGCACTGAAGGCACTTTGAAAACGTAACTTCTTGTTGTTGTAAACTACCAAACGATGATGAGGGTGAATGGCGGAGATTGACTTTGACTCTCTGATTGGGTGATAGGGACGGATTGGGCCTCAGGGAGCCCCGGGACCTGCTGGCGAGGAGGGTAAGAGGGGACCTCGCGGAGAACCTGGAGCAGCCGGACCCCACGGCCCCCCCGGAGAGAGAGTAAGTCACCGCATCACCTTCATCTTCATCAGCCCCGAGCAGCCACGGTCTCTGCAAAGAATAGTCTAGAACGTTACAAGCGCCTGGTACCTGGGACCAAACACACAGGGCTCTGCACACAGGACACACGGGACGGTTATTTCATTTGCAGTGAAACTCTGCTGCTCGTTTGTGCACAGCTTCAGTAACACAACTGTGTGAGGTGGCCGGGCGTGCGCGCGAGGGTGGGGTGTGCGCGCGAGGGTGGGGTTTGCGCACAAGGGCGTGTGTGAAGGTGGGGTGTGTGTGAGGGTGGGACGTGTGTGTGAGGGCGTGTGTGCGAGAGCGTGTGTGCGAGGGCGCGTGTGAGGGTGGGGCATGTGTGCGGATGGAGCATGTGTGCGAGGGTGGGTGTGAGGATGTGGGGTGTGAAGGTGGGGCGTGTGTGCGAGGGTCGGTGTGAGGGTGGGTGTGAGGGTGGGGCGTGTGTCGAGGGTGGGTGTGAGGGTGGGGTTGTATGCAAGGGTGGTGTGAGGGTGTGGCTCATGTGAGGGTGGGGCGTGCGTGGAAGTGGGTGTGAGGGTGGGGCGTGCCCGAGGGTGGGTGCGATGGTGGGGAGTGTTTGAGGGTGGGGTGTGTGTAAGGGTGGGTGTGTGTGTGAGGGTGGGTGTGAGGGTGGGGTGTGTGTGTGAGGGTGGGTGTGAGGGTGGGTGTGTGTGTGAGGGTGGGTGTGAGAATGGGGGTGTGTGTGAGGGAGGGTGTGAGTGTGGGGGTGTGTGTGCGAGGGTGGGTGTGAGGGTGGGGGGGTGTGCGAGGGTGTGTGTGAGTGTGGAGGGGTGTGTGCGAGGTTATGTGTGAGGGTGGGGGGTGTGTGCGAGGGTGGGTGTGAGGGTGGGGGGTGTGTCCGAGGGTGGATGTGAGGGTGGGGGTGTGTGCGAGGGTGTGTGTGAGGGTGGGGGGTGGGTGCGAGGGTGGGTGTGAGGGTGGGGGGTGTGTGCGAGGGTGGGTGTGAGGGTGGGGGGTGTGTGCGAGGGTGGGTGTGAGGGTGGGGGGTGTGTGCGAGGGTGGGTGTGAGGGTGGGGGTGTGTGCGAGGGTGGGTGTGAGGGTGGGGGGTGTGTGCGAGGGTGGGTGTGAGGGTGGGGGTGTGTGCGAGGGTGGGTGTGAGGGTGGGGGGGGTGTGCGAGGGTGGGTGTGAGGGTGGGGGGGGTGTGTGTGAGGGACGCGGTTGCTGTAACCAGATTCTCGTTGTGTCTCTGCTCAGGGGCCGCCCGGTAACCGTGGATTCCCAGGTCAGGATGGTTTAGCTGGTCCTAAGGTACGTGTGCGTCCCCGCCCCCAGATCCCGGTAACTCCGCCCCCTGCACCCGGTAACTCCGCCCCTCGCTCCCGGTAACTCCCCCTCGTTCCTGGTAACTCCGCCCCCTGCTCCTGGTAACTCCGCCCCCTGCTCCCGGTAACTCCGCCCCCTGCTCCCGGTAACTCCGCCTCCTGCTCCCAGTAGCTCCGCCCCCTGCTCCCGGTAACTCCTCCCCTCACTCCCGGTAACTCCTCCCCTCACTCCCGGTAACTCCTCCCCCCGCTCCCGGTAACTCCGCCCCTCGCTCCTGGTAACTCCGCCCCTCGCTCCCGGTAACTCCGCCCCTCGCTCCCGGTAACTCCGCCCCTCGCTCCCGGAAACACCGCCCCTCGCTCCCAGAAACTCCGCCCCTCGCTCCCAGAAACTCCACGTTTTCCTCCTTGTAACTCCGCCCCCTTCTACTAGTGACTCCGCCCCTCCTTCCCAGACGCCCCTCCCCTCACTCCCAGTGACTCTGCCCCTCCCTCTGGGTAACGCTGCCCCTTCCTTCCTGGTAACTCCGCCCCTTGTTAGCAGTGACTCCACCCCTCCTTCCCAGTAACTCCGCCCCTCCTTCCCAGTAACTCCGCCCCTCGCTCCCATTAACTCCGCCCCTTGCTCCCAGTAACTCCACCCCTCCTTCCCAGATGCCCCGCCCCTCGCTTCTCAATGGGAACAATGATATAGGAATGTAAATTGTTATTGTATTGAAGATTTCAGTGGTTTGGCAGTCGGTTCCTTGGACCAGAGTTTGTTAAATGATTGTGTCTGTCCTGCGCTGTGCTGCATGCGACCCACTCACTCGTGCCCTCAAAGGGACGTGCGTTGCTTGTGATCAGCATCTCACTGCGTATATGTGTGTGTTGTGCACGTGTGTGTGTGTGTGTGTGTGTGTGTGTGTGTGTGTGTGTGGCATGTCTGGCATGTGTGTGCCACGATTGAGGCCCAGGGAGCCACGGGATGAGCACGAGGAGTGGAGACTGCGATCAGCAATGGGTCAGCGAGTTGATCCCCACAGTGAGTGTGAGCCGGTGTGTTGGCAGTCGCTGCATTGTTGTCGCTGTTCTCACTGTGTTGTTGTTGTTGCTATCACAGGGAGCCCCCGGGGAGCGTGGAGCACCTGGTATCAGCGGCCCCAAAGGTACAACAGGTGACCCTGGGCGTCCCGGAGAGCCAGGCCTGCCTGGTGCCAGAGTAAGTGACTGAGGAGTGAGCATCCTCCCCCCACCCCCCGCACAGCCCCCACACGCTCAGCCCCACACACTCACTATAGCCCCCACACACTTACCCCCACACACTCACACCCATAGCGCTCACACCCTCAGCCCCAGCACCCACACACTCACCCCCCAGCACCCACACACTCAACCCCAGCTCCCACACACTCACCCCTCAGCACCCACACACTCACCCCTCAGCACCCACACACTCACCCCCCAGCACCCACACACTCAACACACATTCACCCCCTGCCTGATGCTATCTTGCTTGGCTCAGTGATGAGAGCGACGGCAGATATCTCTCTCCAACACTCTCTCTCTCTCACACTCACTCTCTCTCTCATTCCGCAGGGTTTGACTGGTCGCCCTGGAGATGCCGGACCTCAGGGCAAAGTTGGTGCGTCTGTAAGTACGAGTGACCGTCTCTCTCATGTCAGGGCCCTGTCTGGAGGCACAGGCTGAGGGCAGCCATGAGCCGGGAGGTGTTATTGGGATTGTGGCGTCGTCGCTCTCTCTGGGGCCGGAGAGTGTGGGTCACTACCAACATCACAATCCAGGCTGACATCCCGAGGGGCTCAGTGCTGGGGAGAGGGGCGGAGACCCTCATGGTGACTCGATTATGCCAACTCCCTCCTTGTCGATCTCCACAAATCCTCCCTCCACAAACTGCGGTTCATCCAGAAACTCTGCAGCTCGTGACCCCCATCACCCTCGCCCAGCTTCACTGGCTCCCCATCCCCCCGGAGGATCGAGTTCAACCTCCTTGGGGTTGGAGAGAGCCTGGGTGTGGGGATGTCAGGGTACTGGGGGAAGTGGGCTACCAGGGTGGGAGTGTCAGGTGGGGTGGAGAAGGATTGCCAGTGACATGGTATGACGGGATCTCTCTTCTCTCTCCCGCAGGGAGCTCCAGGTGAGGATGGACGTCCCGGGCCCCCCGGCCCCCAAGGAGCCAGAGGCCAACCCGGAGTCATGGGATTCCCAGGACCAAAGGGCGCGACAGTGAGTATTGTTCTCTCCACACTGCGCTCCACACACTGAGCTCTCACCACAAACCAGCGTCACAATACAGTGGATCTCTTCAACACCAGGTCCCCGTGTAAGTGCAAGTGTAGCCATCTGTGTTTCTGACCCCCATCCCCTCTCTCTCTCTCTCTCTCTCTCTCAGGGCCAGGCTGGCAAAGCTGGTGAGAAAGGTCTCCTTGGAGCTCCAGGACTCAGAGTAAGTTACCTCCACAGAAGCTGATTTAAAATGATGAGTGTCTCCCGTGGAAGGCTGGTGCTCCCTCACTCCCCCTACCCCACCCCGCAGCCTTCTCACTTCCCTCCCACCTGCTCACCCCATCAGCAGCGAGGAAGTGTGTGCGCGTGTGCCAGCACTTTGGGATGTCCTCCTGACATGAGAGGCGCTGTGCAAATGTAATATGTTGTTGTGACACAGCGAGCAGTGTGTCTGTGGTGTGTGTCTTTGTGTGAGTCTGTGTGTTTTGATGTTACTCTGTAATTACTACTGTTGCTGTAAACCCTTCAATTACATCCTCACTTAGTGAACCAAATTAATTGTCTCCTCCTCTCCCTTTTCTCCCTCCCCTCTTTCCCCCCCCCATCCCTCCTCCCCCAGGGGTTACCGGGTAAAGACGGTGAGACAGGAGCACAGGGACCACCAGGACCATCTGTAAGTTCAACATTTTTTTAACCTTAAAATTTGACGTGTCTCAAGGTGGATTGTGGGGTTCCCAGGCTGGGGAGCTGGGGGGGAGTTGGGGGGTTGGAGGCAGAGAAGGGGAGTTTGGGGAGCTGGTGGTTGGGGGGATGAGTGGGGGGGTATTGGGGAACTGGGAGAATTTGTACCAGAGATGTTGATTGTGTTACTCACTGCTCTGTGTAGGGACTGGCTGGTGAGAGAGGAGAACAAGGCCCCCCGGGCCCCCCCGGGTTCCAGGTCAGTGTCAGCGACGCTCACATTCCCTCCTAACGTTGTTGTGAAGATTGCGAGTGTGAACGACTAACCTGGGGTTGCCGTCGGTGCCGAGGAGAGGATGTGGTATGAGCGGCTCCCGGTCGGGGTCGGTGTGTAACTCTGTCTTTGTCTTCTGCATCCAGGGCCTGCCCGGACCCCCCGGCCCCCCAGGTGAAGGTGGCAAACCTGGTGACCAGGTGAGTGACTGTCAGAGCTGTGAGGGGTGTCCCCTCCCTCTCGCTTCCTGTGGATATAAAACTGAGTGCCGTTCTGCGCCGAGCTCCAACTTCATCCCCACCTGACCACTCACTTGCTCCGGCTGACGGCAAAATCAGCAATGTCCCCATCGAACCATCTGAAAGTGCCCCCTCTCTCCCCCCCACCCTCCCTGGAGCAGTACCCCACCCGCCCGCCCGGCCCTCTGCTCTGAGCTTGTTTTCCTCTCTCACCACAGGGTATCCCCGGTGAGGCCGGAGCCGCTGGTCTGACTGGTCCTCGGGTAAGTTCATGTTACACCTCACTGTTACACACACCCTATTACATCCTGTTACATCCCCCGTTACGCTCCCTATAACACTTCCCCCCCCATTACATTCCCCCATTGCACTGCCCTCCTCCCCATCCCACCCCCCTGGTACATCCCCCGTTTACACTCCCCCTGTTACACTTCCGCATTACACACTCCTATTACGTGCCTCCGTTATACTCCCACCCCGTTACATTCCCTCCCCCACCCATTACACTCCCTCCAGTTACAATCCCCATTACATCTCCCTGTTAAATTTCCCCCTTACACTTCCCCGTTACACTCCCCTCACTACACTCATTACACTCCGCATTACAATCCCAATTACATCCCCCCATTACATACACACACCCATGTTACACTCTCCTCCCCGTTACACTCGCCCCCATTACATCCCCCGTTACACCCCCGTTACACTCGCCCCATTATATCCCCATTACATCCCCGCCATTACATTCCCCCAGTTGCACTTGCCCCATTACATCCCCGTTACACCCCAACCGTTACACTCCCCACCTCCATTACATCCCCCGATTACATCCCTGTTACACTCCCCCTGTTACATTCCCCCATTACATCCCCATTACACTCCCCCCATTACATCCCCAGCATTACACTCCCCCGTTACACCCCCACGCCCACTGTTACATGTCTGTTTTGGCTGCAAGGCCTGTGTTCACGTCTGTTCCTTTTCCTGTGCAGGGAGAGCGCGGCTTCCCAGGTGAACGTGGATCTCCGGGGCCTCAGGGTCTCCAGGGGCCTCGCGGGCTCCCAGGGACCCCTGGTGCTGACGGCCCGAAGGTGCGTTCCACCCCAAAAACTCCAGGCAGCAAGAGAAGCGGGGGAGAGGGGGAGAAGGGGGACTGGTGTAACTTGTCGGATTGTGTTGCAGGGAGAAGGTGGGGAGGTGTGGGGTGGGGTGGGGTGGGAGCAGCGGCTGACGGGGGTGGATGGGAGGGCTGAGGGTGGGGGGGAGCGGGGGCCAGTGTAACTTGCAGTGTGTTACGGGGGGAGGGGAGGGAGTGGTGGGTGGGGTTGGGGTGAGTGGGGGGCCGGTGTAACATCTGGTTGTGTTACAGGGAGCAGGTGGATCTCCAGGCCCTAACGGAGCACAGGGTCCCCCCGGGCTGCAGGGAATGCCGGGCGAGCGAGGCACAGCTGGGATCCCAGGAGCGAAGGGCGACCGGGTGAGTGAGAGACTCCGGCTCCCTTCACGTTTGATGCAAAAAATCACCATCTGTTTGTGTCCCAGCAACCGAGAGCCCAGGAAGGGCAGTGTCTGTGTGGATGGTGGGGAGTGGGGGGGCACAGGGGTAGGGTGGGAATATGGGTGGGAGGGGGAATTGAGGGGTGATTTCTGGGGGGCTGATTGTATTCCCTCTCGGCAGCCCCTCAGTTTCTCTGTTCTGATTTCAGGGCGACTCTGGTGGGAAAGGACCTGAGGGGGCACCGGGCAAAGATGGCGCAAGAGTGAGTATCAGCAATCGTTCACATCACAGCTTCTCCCTCTGCATTTCATCTTTCTTGCGGAAAACAATAAGCGGAGATGGAGAATTCTAACCCTTCCTGCTCGCTCACCCATCTGTGTGTGTGTGTATCCGTCTGTCTGTGTGTGTGTGTGTCTCTCTGTCTGTCTGTGTGTGTGTCTGTCTCTCTCTGTCTGTCTCTCTCTCTCTGTGTGTCAGTGTTTAATATGTGTGTCTGTTTCTCTCTGTTTATTTGTGTGTGAGACTGTGTGTTTAATACCCGTGTGGGTCTGTCTTTCTGTCCTGTATGCACACGCACGCACACACCTCCCTGGCAGAGAGATCTGGAAAATAATCTGTTTTTCTGGAATCTGTTTTACAATTACAAAAAAGACCTCACTTGTGTTCCCTCCAGACTAATGCTCCGGCTTTGAAAGTCCTGATTTAAAGTTTAATAAAATCTTTGCTATTTGATGTAACGCATTAACACGCCTTCAGGTCGTCTCGAAGCACTTCACAGGATATACTGTCAAGTGTAGTGACTGTATATTTTGGGGCAAAACGTTCTAATCTGTTAACGACACAGTAGAACTGGCTCCACGTCCTCTCCCCCAATATCTAGAACATCGCCCTCTGTTGGACACAGACTAATTCAGCCCCGTCTCAAACACTCACGTTTATTCCTCAAACCTTATTGAACTTGTGTTTGTGACATCTGTCTGTGTAACATTATATCAGATATACTGACGTTCGGCTGGTCATCCCGTTTCTGGTAGTTAATTCAGATCCTCATCCGTCAGTCCAACGTTAATTGCCCGAGTCTGTCTCATGCTTTACCCACCCCCCCCACCCCCACCTCCCTCCCTCCCATGGGACATGGTTAAGGCGCTAAATCAAATGCAAGGATTATTATTATTATTATTATTATTAAACTCACATTGATCGGCGGTTGGTCTCACTCTTTATGGGACCTCATTCAGGGGCGTGGAATTTGGCTGTGACATTGTCCATCTCTGTAGTGACATTCCTGGGAATGAAAGGGATTCCCCTCTTACTTTCATCCCATCCCATCGTGTCCGGAGTTAATGAAGCTCAGACATTGGTCCCGAGGGTAGAGCGGAGCAGATACATCGATGGTTTCTGTTGTCGTCAGTCATCCTGACTCTCTCTCTCTCTCTCTCCAGGGTTTGACCGGCCCCATTGGACCCCCCGGTCCCGCCGGCCCCAATGGTGAGAAGGTAAGTGATCATTAGCACCGCACTCCGAGCCCGCACCCCTGCCCCCAACACCTTCTCCCCTCCGCGACCCCCACCGAACACCTTCTCCCCTCCTCCTCGAGCACCGCCTCCCCCACGAACTCCCACCCCCCACCCCCCCTCGAACACCATCTCCCCTGAGCGCCGTGTCTAACCACCTGAGCGCCATGTCTAACACTGATCTGTTCTCTCTCTCTCAGGGTGAAACAGGACCTCGGGGCCCGACCGGCGCTGCTGGTTCCCGCGGAGCTCCCGTAAGTCAGTCTGTCCTCACACGCACAGTCACACACACAGTAACACACAGCTTCTCACACACACACAGGCTCACACACACAGTCACACACACAGCCTCTCTCACACACACACACACAGCCTCACATACACACACACAGCCTCACACACGCTGTGCAGCGCTGTAGCGGAGGTGACGTACGCAGAGAGTGAGAGCGCCTGTGCCTGGAGTAACGGCTGTTTGTGTTTCAGGGAGATCGAGGCGAGACCGGCCCCCCTGGCCCCGCTGGCTTTGCTGGAGCCCCTGTGAGTAAATAACCCACTGTTACAATCAGCGGCTCCACATGGAGCTCGGCTCTGAGCCCTTTCAATGGGATGTTTTGGGGGGTGTGTAACTGAGTAATATCTCTCCTCCTGTGACAGGGTGCCGACGGGCAACCGGGAGCCAAGGGTGAGCCAGGGGCCACGGGACAGAAGGGCGACGCTGGGGCCCCGGGGCCACAGGGCCCCTCGGGAGCTCCCGGACCACAGGTGAGAAACCTCCCTCTCCCATCCCGGCATCTGGCGAGAACCAGCCTTTACCTTTACAGTACCTGTACCTAATGATGTCCAGTCCTGCAGGTAGTGGTTAGAGCCCTCGCCTCGCAAGCCAGAGGACCTGGGTTCAATTCCCGGGCGGGCGGGTCAGGGTGAAACGTAGTTTCCTTACTCCACACACACGCCTCTGTCCTGCCAATGTGAAAGGCGATATACAAATGTCATTTTGTTTGCCATCAGTAAGTAGGAACCCGCTTGTTAGTCGATTGGCAGATCACTTTCACGAGGGGTAATAAATAATCCCTTAAAAAAAATAATAAATTGGTCACTCAATCCCCGACTGTTTATGGGACATCGCTGTACGCAATTGGCTGCCGCGTCTTGCCAACAAAATACAGACACTACACTTCACAGGGTGTCCTGTGAAGCACTTTGAGATGTCTCAAAGTCGTACAAGGCGCTGTGTCAAATGCAAAGATTATTGTTAATATTAATTCTCTTTGTCCAGGGACCGACTGGTGTGACTGGGCCTAAAGGAGCTCGCGGAGCCCAAGGACCTGCGGTGAGTGTGTGTGTGTCTGTGTGTGTCCGTGTGCGCGGGAGGAGGGCTGTCTGTTGTCTGTGAGTGTTTGTGGGGGAGGCTGTGTGTGTCACAGTGGCTGTGCGTGTGGGGGGGTGCTGTGTGTGAATGTGTCAGTGTGTGATTGTATGTGGGGGGTAGCTGTGTGTGTCAGGGCGGCGGTGTGTGTGTGGGCACAGGGGATTGTGGGGTTGGGGCTATGTGGGGTGGGGGTATGTGCTTTTGTATGTGAGTGTATCAGGGGGGCGGTTTGTATGTGGGGTGGGTGCTGTGTGAGTGTATTGGGGGCAATGTGTGTGGGGCGTGGGGGTATGTGGGTGTGTGTGGGGGTGGTTACTGTGTACATATGGGGTGGGGGTATCTGGGTGGGGGTGTGGAGGGGGGTTACTGTGGGGCAGTGTGTGTGGGGGTGGGGGGGTGTGCCTTGCTTTAATCTCTCTCTCTGTCTATCTCTCTCAGGGAGCCACTGGTTTCCCAGGAGCCGCAGGCAGGGTGGGGCCCCCGGGCCCCAATGTAAGTACATTCAACATTTTGTAGCTTTGGATTGTCTATCAGAGCTGACCAGACATAAGGTGTCTGACACACCCCATCCCATCCTTATAGTCTCTCTCCCCACACACTCCCCCAGCCCATCCCTACAGTCTCTCCCCCCATCACACTCCCCCAGCCCATCCCTACAGTCTCTCCCCCCACCACACTCCCCCAGCCCATCCCTACAGTCTCTCCCACCCACACACTCCCCCAGCCCATCCCTACAGTCTCTCTCCCCCCCACACCCCTCCAGCCCATCCCATCAGTCTCTCTCCCCCACACCCCCCAAGCTCATCCCTACAGTCTCTCTCTCTCCCCCCCAAAGCCCCAGCCCATCCCTACAGTCTCTCTTCCCCCACACACACCCCCAGCCATCCCTACAGTCTATCCCCCCCCACACCCCCTACCCATCCCTAGTCTCTCTCCTCCCAACACCCTCCAGCCAATCCCTACAGTCTCTCTTCCCCCAGCCCATCCCCAGTCTCTGCCCCACATTCAGCTCTGGAGTGACCCATCATTTATTTATTGTGCAGCCACTTGGCCCCGCCTCCCAGGCCCCGCCCTCCATAGCCCTGACCACGCCCCCTATGGCCCCACCCTCCATGAGCCCTGGCCACGCCCCCTATGGCCCCACCCTCCATGAGCCCTGACCACGCCCCCCATGGCCCCACCCTCTATGGCCCCTGACCACGCCTCCCATGGCCCCACCCTCCATGGCCCCACGGCAGCACAGTCACAGTGGCTTGTGGTCAGTGTGAGGTGTTTGTGATTAACTGAGTCTCACCATCTGGCCTCGAGCCTGTGGTTCCCAGCAATGGCCCCTCACTGCCCTGTGCTGGGCTGTGAGGCTGGAGATGCCACGTGTGAGGCTGGTCTCTGCCCTGGTCACTCCTCTCAACTACAACAACAACTTGCACTTATATAGTGCCCTCCACACCGGGCGGTGTCCCTGAACTCTACGCCAGTGATGGTGCCGTAGCCACATTCCCTCCGTGCTGCCCTCTAACCCTCTCCTTTTCCCACAGGGAAATCCAGGGCCAGTTGGTCCTCCCGGTTCTCCCGGCAAGGATGGCCCGAAAGGCTTGCGTGGTGACCCCGGGACCGCGGGAAGAACTGGTGACCCCGGGCTACAGGGCCCGGCCGGCGCTCCCGGTGAGAAAGGAGAATCCGGTGAAGATGGTCCTCCTGTAAGTACATAATAGCCAACGTCCACCCAGCTCTGGCCAGCGGTTAGCACAGCCCTCGCGGGTAAATACCATGTCACTGACCCCCACCCAGTCACTAACACTGACCACCATCCGGTCACTAACACTGACCACCATCCGGTCACGAACACTGACCCCCACCCGGTCACTAACACTGACCACCATCCGGTCACTAACACTGACCACCATCCGGTCATTAACACTGACCCCCACCCGGTCACGAACACTGACCCCCACCCGGTCACTAACACTGACCCCCACCCGTTCACTAACACTGACCCCCACCGGTTCACTAACACTGACCCCCACCCGGTCACTAACACTGACCCCCACCCGGTCACTAACACTAACCCCCACCCGGTCACTAACACTGACCCCCACCCGGTCACTAACACTGACCCCCACCCGGTCACTAACACTGACCCCCACCCGGTCACTAACACTGACCCCCACCCGGTCACTAACACTGACCCCCACCCGGTCACAAACACTGACCCCCACCCGGTCACTAACACTGACCCCCACCCGGTCACTAACACTGACCCCCACCCGGTCACTGACCCCCACCCGGTCACTGACCCCCACCCGGTCACGAACACTGACCCCCACCCGGTCACAAACACTGACCCCCACCCGGTCACGAACACTGACCACCATCTGGTCACTAACCACCACCCGGTCACTAACACTGACCCCACCCAGTCACTAGCACTGACCCCCACCCGGTCACTAGCACTGACCCCGACACGGTTTCTAACACTGACCCCCACCCAGTCACTAACACTGACCACCATCTGGTCACTAACACTGACCACCGCCCGGTCACTAACTGACCGCTGTTTTCTCTCCTCAGGGTCCTGATGGTCCTTCAGGTCCCCAGGGCTTGTCTGGGCAGCGAGGTATTGTGGGGCTTCCTGGTCAGCGAGGAGAGAGAGGCTTCCCCGGCCTCCCAGGACCCTCGGTGAGTATCAGCCTCTGTCACACAGTCACAGGTACAGCCTCTGTCACACACGGTCACACACAGTCACAGCCTTATCATACATAGTGACATACAGTCATATACAGTCACAGCCTGTATTACACACAGTCACAGCCTCTGTCACACACAGACACACACAGTCACAGTTACAGCCTGTATCAGCTGCTCAAGGCAGTGTGTGACCATGAGCCTTTGGCAGGAGGTGTGCATGTGCCGATAGGCTCTGACTCTGTTCTGCTCCTTGTCTAGGGTGAACCCGGCAAACAAGGAGCTTCTGGTGGTGCCGGAGATCGGGGTCCTCCTGGGCCTGTCGGACCCCCTGGCCTCACCGGCCCCTCCGGCGAACCTGGACGTGAGGTTTGTGGACATTTCCTAACTTTACCATCAATCGTCCGGTGTTGCCTTTCAGCCACTCCACTCTGGAACATTCTTCCTCTATTCCTCTGCCTCACCCTCCTTCCCCATCTTCAGATCACACTTGAAGACTTTCCTCTTCGACCTATGGTGCCTGCGGTCACTTCCCCTCTCCCCCCAGTTTGGCGTCGTGCTCCATGTGGAGTCCTGTAGCTCAGTGGTTAGAGCACTCGCTTTGCAAGTGAGAGACCTGAGTTCAATTCCAGGCAGAGGGCGAAACCTTGGGCAAGTTTCCTTACTCCACACAGAGCCTAATAATAATCCCTCCAAAACCCAAAACAATAATAAATTGGTCATTTTCAATCTACGACTGTTTGTGGGTCATTGCTGTGCGCAATTGGCTGCCGCGTTCGCCCACAAATATACAGTCAATACACTTTACAGTGTGTTCTGTGAAGCGCTTTGGGACGTCCTCCTGATGTGAAAAGCGCTATATAAAATGCAACGATTATTATTATTATTATGTGTGAGGGGCCCTGTGTAAATGCAAGTTGTTGTTGTAGTTGTTGTCTTGTGCTCTGACAGTCTATGTTATGTGTCTGTGTCACAGGGGAACCCTGGTGCTGACGGACCTCCAGGTCGTGATGGATCCACTGGGATGAAGGTAAACGCTGATTACCGGCTTCGCGCTGACGCGGTTGCTTTTATTGTGGGTTCAGGAGTCTCTCCTCTCAGTGTGTATCACATCGTCCGCAACCACACGCTCACACCTCAGGGACGATGCACATTGTGATATCTGGGCATGAAAACACTTCCTCAAACTCTCGCGCTGACAATCCTGTGTTTATTGCCTCACCATCCAGGGGCAATAATTTTTCATTATACTCAAAAACTCTTTCCGAGGTTGTCCCTATCTGTGGCTCCCATTCCTTTTCTATATTAGGCCCCAGGGATGGGGTATAAATCTGACCAATGGGCCTTGTCTTTGTGTATAAATCCCTACAATCCCACTCGCCTCTTTATGGCCTTTTCTATTGACTTCGTAATAATCCCTTCAAACAAAATGAAAAATAATGATGCGGTCATTCAATCCACGACTGTTTGTGAGTCACTGCTGTGCACAATTGGCTGCCGCGTTTCACCCACAAAATACAGTAACTACACTTTCCAGTATATCCTGTGAAGCACTTTGAGACGTCTCGAAGACGTGATAAGGCGCTGTATCAAATTCAAGGATTATTATTATTATTGTCATTTTACCATCACCATCATCCCTGACCTCTCTCTCTTTCCCTCTGACAGGGCGATCGAGGTGCGACAGGTCCAGCTGGTGCCCCCGGTGCCCCTGGTGCTCCCGGCTCCCCAGGACCTGTTGGGCCAACTGGCAAACAAGGGAATAGAGGAGAATCTGTAAGTACCAACTTGGCCGCAGCATCGCTTCACTGTAATGTATAAATCAATACAGAGGAGAAAGTCAGTCATAGACACAATACAGATAGGAAATGACCATGTGTGTTTGACTGGCTCAGGCAGCATTGCTCTCACCTCTCAATCAGGTGTCTGACACACGGAAATTCGTCACTGTGACCAGCCGGGTGTCTGACACACACTGAAACACATCCCCGGAGGGATACACCCTGCTCACTTAATTCCAGAGAGGATTAGGCACAGGTTCACAATAGCCAAGGACTTGGACGTTAAGACTATTGTAAGATTTTATTGTGATGTTGATTTCGGGGCTCGGTGTCTCTATCGCACTGATGCTCGACACAGATCTGAATGTTTTATTCTCCTTGTTACAGGGAGCTCAAGGTCCAATGGGTCCCCCTGGACCGGCAGGTGCCCGGGGAATGCCTGTAAGTACCTCACATACACCCTGAACACGTACACCCTGAACACATACACTGTAACAGATAGTAAAAAAAACCAATCAGCTGATATTTTTTTTTCTTCACACTTGAGTTAGCGTGAGTCAGTGTGTACAGTACTGAGGTGGAGAGATGTTTGTTAAGTCAGGGTATCAAGGGATATGGGACAAGGGCGGATAATTGGAGTTGAGGTACAGATCAGCCATGATCTTATAGAATGGCGGAAAAGGCTTGAGGGGCTGAATGGCTTACTCCTATTCCTATGTTTATATGTTTCTGTTAAATGTTGCAGAGAGTTACAACACAAACATATTGGACAATAGAGATGGCGGACAATTACTCCTCAGTGACAGCAGCTAATGTAACATCCTACAGAAAGCTAGGAACAGAAGGAGGCCATCAGCCCAGCCAGCCAATTCCACCAGTTTAGATCTGGGCACTAGTTTAGATCTCTCACACTCTCTCTCTCTCTCTCTCTGTTTCTCAAACACCCCCATTGATTGCATCTATCCAGTGTTCTGGGGCAGAACGTTCCCTGTGTGTGAGGAAGCTCTTCCTGACCTCGGCTGTGACCCTTGGTCTCGGCAGCTTTTGGAGGGAATGTGACACAGTCACTGTCTGTTCAGGAAGAAGTTAAGGATCTCACGAGGTACCCCTGGCCAATATTGCAGCACCTTCAGTGATCATTCACAGCCCTGGCTGTGTAGTCCTCACTGTGTGCAGAGGCTACAAAACCAGTCACTATACTTAGGGAGAATAATCATATGAAGTGTTTTGAGATGTTGAAGCCCAATGACTTGCGATGTGTGGAGAGCTGGGAAGCTCTGTGTTCCTCTGTGACTGAGCTCAGCCTCTAACCTCCCTTCTGCACTGTTAGGGTCCTCAAGGTCCTCGTGGTGACAAGGGTGAAGCTGGCGAGACTGGTGAGAGAGGTCAGAAAGGTCATCGAGGCTTCACTGGGCTGCAGGGCCTGCCCGGACCTCCTGTAAGTACCGCCCGCAAAGAAGCACCGTGTCGCTGCGAGTGCCATGTCGCTGCATGTACATGTCCTGTGTGGCTGCGTGTGCCATATTGTTGCATTTTACCGTGTCGCTGGGTGTGCATGTTACCAAGTAGCTGCATGTGCCATGTGGCTCCGTGTACTGTGTGGCTGCGTGTTCCGTGTCGTTGAATGTTACCGTGTCTCTGCGTGTGCCATGTCATTGCGTGTTACCAGGTCACTTTGTGTTACGATATCACTGTGTGTAACTGTGTCAACTCATATGCTGAATATAGGTGTGCCATGTGGCTGCGTGTGCTGTGTGGTTGCATGTGCCATGTTTCTGGGTGTGCCGTATTTCTGGGTTGAGCCGTGTGGCTGCGTGTGATGTGTGGCTGCGTGTGACGTGTGGCTGTGTGAGCAGTGTCTGTGTGTGGCTGCGTGTGCCGTGTGGCTACATGTCCGTGTGGCTGCGTGTGCCATGTGGCTCAGTGTGCGGTATGGTTGCCTGTGCCAAGTTGCTGTGTGTTTCAGGTTGCAGTGAGTGCTTGTTACCCTGTCGCTGCATGTTACCATGTTGGTGCATGTGCCGTGTGGCTGCGTGTGCCATGTGGCTGCGTGTAGCTCAGTGTGCCATGTGATTGCCTGTCCCATGTCGCTGCGTGTTCCAATTTGCAGTAAGTGCTTGTTACCGTGTCGCTGCATGTTGCCATGTTACTGCATGTTCCGTGTCGCTGCGAGTGCTGTTACCGTGTCTCTGTGGCTAACTGTCTCCTCCTCCCCAGGGCACGGCTGGTGACCAAGGTGCAGTTGGTGCTGCAGGTCCGAGTGGTCCCAGAGTGAGTCAGTTTTACTGTTGCTCCACCCACACCAAACCCCGCCCACACCAAACCCCGCCCACACCAAACTCCGCCCACACCAAACTCCACCCACACCAAACTCCGTCCACACCAAACCCCACCCACTTAAACCCCACCCACTTAAACCCCACCCACACCAAACCCCACCCACTTAAACCCCACCCACACCAAACCCCACCCACACCAAACTCCACCCACACCAAACTCCGCCCACACCAAACCCCGCCCACACCAAACCCCACCCACACCAAACTCTGCCCACACCATCTCTGCCCACAACAAATGCCATCCACTTGAAACTCCGCCCAATCCAAACTCCGCCCTCACCCAAGCCAAGCTTCGCCCATATCCTCACCTCTACATTCTACCCCCTCAACCTGAAGGACTCTGTTCTCGTGAACAATCGCCCAGATATCACTGCTCACTCACCTCTTGGCTGTTTGTGGGACATTGATATGTGCAATTGGCTGGACACTTTTTCAAACAACCACAGACACTATACTTCACAGTAAATCCTGTGATGCGCTTTGAGAAATCCTCCTGACATGAAAGACGTTGCATCAAAAACAAGAATTATTGGCCACTGTTGTTCTTGTTGTTGCCTAATGGTGATTCTTGTGTCTAGGGTCCTCCTGGTCCAGTTGGCCCGTCTGGTAAAGATGGCTCTAATGGTCTCCCTGGTCCTATTGGCCCACCGGGTCCTCGAGGTCGTGGTGGTGAAGCTGGTCCATCTGTAAGTATCTCACTGGCTTCATCTCTACAATGACCGTCCCCCTACACTGACTGTCCCTTTAACAGCTCCAGTAGCCTCTCTGTAGCCGGACTCGTCAAGTTAATAACCATTTAACGCAGCTCATCAAAGTTTGATGATGATTCTCAAAGTTGACGATGATTCTCCTCCCACAGGGGCCCCCTGGTAACTCAGGTCCTCCCGGACCTCCTGGGCCTCCTGGTCCAGGCATCGACATGTCGGCCTTCGCTGGCCTCTCCCAGCCTGAGAAAGCTCCCGATCCCTTGCGGTACTTCCGAGGTGACCAGGCGTCTCCATCCCTTCGCCCTCACGACGCTGAGGTCGATGCCACTCTCAAATCCCTGAACAACCAGATCCAGAACATCCGCAGCCCAGAGGGCAGCAAGAAGAACCCAGCCCGTACCTGCCGCGACCTGAAGCTTTGCCACGCAGACTGGAAGAGCGGTGGGTGTCAGCTGTGAGCGCGGGAGCTAAGTGCTGTGCCTCTCGCGTGTGTAAACCTCGGGCACAACTGCTCAGATCTGTGTAGATTCACTGTTTGGTGTTGTAAATACCCGGAGACTTTCTGTTATGGAGGAACGTTTCGTCAGGTTTGTAATCTTGATCTCTTTGTTCCACCGCAGGTGATTACTGGATCGATCCTAACCAGGGCTGCAGTCTGGATGCCATTAAGGTTTTCTGTAACATGGAAAGTGGCGAGACCTGTGTCTATCCCAACCCCTCAAGTATCCCACGTAAGAACTGGTGGACCAGCAAGGGCAAGGACAGGAAACATGTCTGGTTCGGTGAGACTATGAACGGCGGCTTCCATGTAAGTAGCTTAAAGATTTCCATCGTGAAATAGGCAACAAACATTATCATCTTTTCTCCACCCCATCCGCCCCTCCTTCGGCTCCCATCCCCAGCTCAGCAGTATCGAGCTCTTTGAGATGTCCTTCCAAAAAAGTGTTGTTTCTGGAAGGGAAACACAAACATATTTGTGTGGCGTATGTGGAGGCTGCGTCACTATGTTGAGGCTGTGTCATTAAGTGGTGTATGTGGAGGCTGTGTCACTAAGGTTCAGGAGAGTCTTTCACGGATGGTGGATTTGTGGATCTTGACGTTTCTCTCTGTTCTGTCACAGTTCAGCTATGGTGACGACAGCCTTGCCCCCAACACTGCTGCCATCCAGATGACTTTCCTGCGTCTCCTGTCCACTGAAGCCTCCCAAAACATCACCTACCACTGCAAGAACAGCATCGGCTACATGGACAGAGCCACCGGCAACCTGAAGAAAGCCCTCTTGTTGCAAGGCTCCAATGACATTGAAATCAGAGCAGAAGGAAACAGCAGGTTCACGTACACGGTTTTGGAAGATGGTTGCACGGTGAGCCTCAGTAACGTTTCTAAAACTGCTTTAAAGGGACAGGACCCTGCAACATTTAAATAAGAATGAATTGATAGCTTGAAAAATCCAGGTGAAGGGCGGAGGATCACAGCACAGGACACCAAATAGAAAAGATTGGATAAGTCAAGGCCCTTTGGTGACCAAGCTTGATTTTTAAAAGCCTGTAGATGGTGGGAGGAAAGGAATGTAGAGGAAGGAAAAGCATTCCAGGCTTGAGGTTCAGAGAAAGAATGAGATGAATTTTAATTTGGGCGACTGGGGCAGGGTGTACTTGGAGCTTGGAAGGAACAAGAAAGGAAAATTCAGAGGTAATGAAGATGGTAAAGTATTGCTTAATAAAGGGAAGAGAGAGGTTGAGCCCAGAGGTGAGAGAAGAACTAGTGAATGAAACAACTCATGATGATAATAATATTAAATGTATTCTTGACCCATCACCGCAGGCACTTACCAGCTACATTGAATTACACATGCGCAGTGTAGATTATTGATTAAATCAGATTTTATACGACTTACACCAATTGCCTGTAACTCGAGAGGTCACGTAACTCATGTTATTGTCCCGACTGATATGACTTATGTGGGTTTTACAGTATTAATATGTATTAATATCAGTGCAGAAGAGAGAGTCTGAGTATCTTGTGATCTCGTTAATGAATGTATTTCCATGTATTTTACAGAAACACACTGGCAAGTGGGGGAAGACAGTCATTGAATACAGGTCACAGAAAACAACTCGTCTGCCCATTGTAGATTTCGCACCGTTGGATATTGGTGGTTCAGATCAGGAATTTGGTGTTGACATTGGCGCAGTCTGCTTCTTGTAAAATAATAAGGACCTGAGTACTTTCCAATCACTCCTAGGACTTCTGCACTGAATGGCTGATTCAATCCATCACTCCATTCATCCACACGCTTACATTTTGGATTTCATGGCCTAGTTGGACAGACTGCGAAAACGGTTAATTTATTTATTGTTTTCCTGTAAAATCTTCAGGTCAGGTGGACGTGTTACTGATATCTGTTGAAGGTCCCCCCCCTCCCCTGATGTACCAGCGTGGGTATCACTAACATTCAAACCGTACCAGTCTGTAAAAAGGTTACGAGCGGGAGACTGTAAACTACAATGATGGTGCTATGTTGTAAAACCAGTCTGTAACATGGAGAACAGTTGATATAAAAAATGTGGAAAGTACAAGTTGATCTGGGCTTTTTTTTTGTGGATTTTTTTTTTTGCAGACTTTGAGAGAACCGTTCCAGCATTTAACTTTGCCCGCCCTCTTTTTCTACCAAGATGCAGGAAGTTTAGAACAATCTAGAACTTCCCCAGTTTAAGCTACCTCACACTAATGATCTTGAAGGGACTAACACACAGTGGCGAGGACAGCAGCTGGGAACGTCCCGACGATCATTCCATTCCTGATAATTCTAAAGGTGCTACTTTTTTGGCTTCTCGGTTCTCCTTCTGTGGCAGGTTTAGTGATCTCGAGGGACCCAGTCTAAACTGGACGGTACTCAATACAACGATTGCGAAGCTGCCATAGACAGTGTAGCAGAAGTCTAACACCGAGGACCAGCCAATCGATCGTTTGAACGTAAAATAAATCAGTATTTTCAGCCAAAACTCTTTAAGCAGATGATATGTGTGGACCATTAGCTGGTGAAAGCCTTTCACAGAATATTTTTCTATGTTTTCCAAAGTTAGGCATGTGGATAAATTAATCCTTTTTCCTACCACCTTTTTTTTCCCTAATTCAATGCGTCTCTTGCTTCCGTGCAACCTTTTCTTGTAACTAGAGGGGAAAAAAAGAGGTAGACAATTTGAGGGGGGGAAACAAACCAAGGATATGGTACTATTTTGTATATGTAAAATAGTTCAGATGTTTTTTAAATATTTTGCAATCCTGGATTAAGCATGGTTAGGGTAGATTTGCCCGTCACAACACTAATGATCTTGTTTTCTTGTGAAAAGATTCTGTCACTTTGTATTTTTTCTCAACCCACTACCCCTTCTTCGCAGCAATAAAGATAGAAGCTTTTCTATAAAAAACACGTTTGTTTGAATTTTTTTTGTTTGTATTAAATCTATCCTACGATGTATCTTTGTTGAATGTTTTATCTAATTCTGGGATATTTCATGACAGAAAAATGAAACGACACAAAATAAAATTAATTTTAAAAAATATCCACCGTGGCTTCAGCTGTTTTTTGGTTATTTGTGGCACGTGAACAAGGCAGATCAGTGGGACAGAATTCAAGAGAAATTCTGCACTTTCTTTACATAATACAGGTTAACATGATATACTGCTGAATGGCACCCCAAATCCAAAATATTTCTCTAATAATCCTTGCATTTCATTTAGTGCTTCATCATGTTGAAACTTGATAGTGCTTCACGGGATTTATTGTCAAGTGGAGCAGCCAATTTATCCACAGTAATGTCCCACAAACAGCCAACAAACATGAACACATTTTATGATGGGAATTGTTGTCCAAGATTTAAGGAGAAACTCCCTCCTCTTTTCAAATAGCACTGAAGCCATGTATATCCTCCGAGCCTGTGATTGGGAATCTCAGCCTGTGCTCACCCCCCACCCCACCCTCACATATACACACCACACACACAGGGCAATAAGTAACGTAACAACTTTATGGGACAGGCTCTGAGCATCAACACAGGATTTATTTTGAAACATCACACCATGTAAAGCAACTACTTACATAACCATCACCAGAGATTTGCTTTACCTTCATTTCTGGGCAGATTGTTAGCCTAAAATCGGTTTAACAGCCTTCCTGTAATCAGATTAAAGCTGAACTCTGCATGTGTTCAACACAAGCTTCCCACCTCCCACGGTGCTTCGCTGCCCCATTACAGCTGGCTGAATCAGAAGCCACTTTTACATCTGCAATGTGACGGTGGCCACAGTAATTGGCCATGATTAGTTACACTGCACATTGCATTCCGCTGATGTTTTTGCGACAGGAGGCTTGAATAGGGAAACATATTTGGATTGTAGTTAGTGCTTTGTTCGGCTACAGAGAAGTGCAAGCCGCCAGCACAAACAAAACCATATTGTGGTAAGTTGACACAGGACAGCTTTAGTGCAATTGCGATTGGGCCCACTTTCCAGATTGTATACAGCTTAATGTTTTCCATTATGACTTGCATCATTTTAGTGCTGGAATGAATCATGGCTCTCTTTCATACACTCAACCTTTAAGCAAGGCCAGGGCCAACATTCAAAGTAGAATCAGGAAAATCCATCAGGACAGAGCCTGCAGGATTTGTTGAAATATTCAAGTCATAGGTCTATCGAGAGATAAACAGAGTTGAGAAACTTTTAAAGTTGTTGATGGAGAGGAAAGGAAAAAGATGATGACTTAGCATTCATCTATGGTCACTTTGCTCGGGTTTATTGCCATTTCCTGTCAAGCTCCACTCTTTAATTAGAATGTCTCCAATTATGACTTTGAACTCATAGTAGAGACTGATGCTCCAATGCACTGCATCCAGCTAATAAGCAGCCCAAGCAACAAAAAGTAAAATAGTAATTTTATCCTGAATTTAGAAGCTCCTCCACTTGGAGATTGAATACCTTTTCACCCTTGATATTTAGAGTTCTGTCTAATACGAAGTATGAGCTGCCTTTCTGTTTCAATACTTCTTAATTATCTTTGTGTGTGAATTGGCACGACAATGTAGCATGTTGGGCAAGGCCAAAGAGCAATTTGTTACACAGACTAGACCTGCTTTGGCATTAATGACCTCAGCGATAGAAGAACACTTCCAAGCACAATCAATTTAGATGTCCCTTGGGATCCACTTTAAACTAGGGACCAATCCAGAAGAAAGGAGTCCTAATGGAAGGAAAACAACTGCTCTCCACTCCCCGTACCTAAACAGACTCTCGATCTGTAAGCTTCGGAATAAAGAATCAGGACAAATTGGGTCAATCTTTTATTTGAAAAGTGCAAATCAAGATAACTGACACTTTACAGTTAAACAGTACCCATCAGTGCAGTGCTACACTATTACAGTTTTATCAGACTTCCCTCTCCCCCATGCCCCCCACCCACTTCCCTCCTCTTCCTCCCAAACCAAAAACCCTAGAGAAAGCAACATCACAGGTTTAAGTTAAAGCCACTCTACAGGAAGAACAAAAAGTGACTGAGAAAAGCACCCATGATTACACCCAGGTTTTCCAATTGCTCACCTACTGCATTGCCTATTCAGAAGGCCACTGCTTAAGCAAGAGGAAAGGTCACTTATTACAGATTTATATGAGTCCAATGAAGCAATAACTTCATCCTCAGAAATAACACTTTTAAACAAGTCAATCATTTGTAAATCTCAGCCCTGAGCCCAAGTATGTTTTTGGAGTATCTTAGGCGGACATTGCAGAACTGTGCAGCAAACACGAGCAGGAGTTACAGTTAGACGATCGCATTGGTTTTCGTGGCATTAGAGGTAATGATGCATGCATTTGATATGATACCTTATCACGTCTTCGTGACGTCTCAAAGCGCTTCATCAGAATATGCTATAAAGTGAATTGACTGCATATCTGTTTGTGGGCAAAACAGATAGCAGAGATCCTAAATGAGGAAAGATTTCACAATTAAGAGCAGAGCTCAATCACTCTGTGGATTGTTTCTTTTGGCTGCTGAAGACTACAATTAGCATTCCACCGTCCTTAGGAGGCTGTAGATTACCTCCCTAATAACCCAGGGATGGAGTTCAATACTTGTCTTTTTTAAGAAGTGTCAACAATCTCCATCATCTTTCTAATCATTTTCCCTGTACTAGTGACTCCAAAATGCAAGAGAATAATCAACCCCTTTCAGTGAAGAAAGTGACTAGGTTAACCAACCAACCTTTGAAAAGGATTTAATTCCACATCAAAGTTCCATCTCACAAGAAGTTTCAGTCGTTGCTTTCAGTTCCAAAATTGTACTTTTTAAACAATACAAAAAGAATTGGAATAAATTACACAAAATAGATCCATGTTATTTTTCACTTATACAAATATTAATATTTTCCACATTTTTATAAAAACACACTGGCGCCTTTCCTTTCCAACATCTTCAAATCTGCCTTCACTTGGCCTTGCGCCCAACAGGAGCACTGTTTGAAGTTGGAGTGGAACTAAACAGTCATGTGATCTCTTTCCCCTGTGAATCATCCATCGCATCCTCAATAGCAAGCCAAGAGTTTATGAAAACAGACACACGTCATATTAAGCTGGAAACTGTGTTGCTGTGAGATCAGCAGCCTTTAGAGGCCCTCTCCACTTCCATCATATGAAGCTACGGCTACTTTCACGTCAGAATAATGTGCAACAATGCAATCTAGTAGAACGTCTGCCCAAAAGAACTAGCTAACTTAGGGGTGGGGGGGGGGGGAATAGGACCAATAAACTCTAGTGAGCTAAGATAGCAATCACATTACTTCTCCCTTGTCGGTGCAGGAAACGAACACCTGATGAGGATTCAGTGTACAGCAACATTGAGCCTTGGATGCTTTAGAGTAATACTTACTAGAATACCAGAACAGTAGGAATCAGTTACCTAACAAATATTAATATTGTTGGAACCATTGATTGACTATAACAGCAAATGGAAACCTGTGGTTAAAGAAATAGATTTGAAACACAGGTGAATCTGATTAAAAACTGCCATGCTGTAGATTTTCATCAACACCTAAAGTGGGTACAATCCCTTCAACACAGTTTTCTCTTTCAACTGCTGATTGATCTGCAGAGGAATTTTATCCGGGAAGAATAGGATGGAAAAAGGTTTTACAAGGCACCTCACCTGGTCCACACCAGGGTAAGTCACTATCCAGGCCAACGTCACTCTAAACATTGTGATGCAAATCCCCAACTCACTAATTAGGGCACCTTGCTACTGGCAAAATAAACAATCCATTGATGCCCTCAATAGTGGCGACTGTACAAAAATAGAAGTTCCCGTCAAATAGAATGACACAGAAACTGAATGAAACCTCCACGTCCTTAGCCTACAATTTCATACAATTTTCAACTCAAACCACAAGCCAATGTATTGATGCCAGAATCACACACTGTTAGCAAGACAAAGCAGAACCTTAGGTGAAAAAAACAGGTCAGATCAAGTTGCTTGGATGTGAAAGAGCCATTCGTGACCTACAGTATATCCAAAATTCAATGTCCCCAAGGTGATCTTCTGTGTGCTGTGGAATTCGATCCACAGTCTAAATAGTGATAATCTTCCAGAGAATTCTGAGATGGATGCCCCAAATAAGAACTTTTTACAGTGGTTCTGGAAAAGAGGTGCAAAGTATTTTAAATATCAATATAACTAAACATTTCAGACAGACGCAAATCAGTACAGTATAGCAGGATAGCAGTTCTAACTTCTGTTAGGCTTTGAAGTTGGTATTCTGGGTATTATATATAGGGCATAGAGTACAAAGGTAAAGCAATAGTGCACAGTTTATACAAATTATTGGCAAAGAGAGGAAAGGGAAGTGAGGGAAAGAGAAAAACACAGGAGCATAATAATATTAAGCATGCCAAAGATTTTATTTATCAGCCGGGTGTCTGACACTTGAGGAAATCAAATACAATGCGTAGGAGTGTCAAAACCAGACTGAGTTCCATATCTGTATTCCATGTATAAATTGGAATTTGAACGGACTTGAACGGATACACACTTCTTTTACAATTCGTGAGATCATTAGGCAGAGGTTGGCAAGAGCCAGGTATAGGGACTTCAGAATGTGTCGGGGGCATTAGCCAACTGAAACTGCTTTGAATGTTAAGATCATTCTTACAATTGGAACATCTTATGAACTTTAGAGAAAAGAAATTAGTTATCCTTAGTTAAATGATTTTTTCAAAAGAAAGACTTACTGCATGAAGACAACAATATTGTGCACTTTGATGGAAGGCATTGTGCAGAACGTACTGTGGAAGAAGAGGAAAGAGTTAATAGTCATGGTTAAGATATAGCAGTCATATGCATAGACTGGGAATGAAGTCTTCAATGAGATTTTTCTCATCCATCAAGCGTTCTGGGACGCTACCCTGCATGAGGGACGCTATATAAATGCAGATTGTTGTTGTAGTAACATTAGCCAGAAGATAAATAGATCACACTGGTCACCAGCAACTGTACAGACCGCACCCCCACCCCACAGGATAAACCTGCAGAAATAGCTCCCGGTCCATTTCATTCAAAAGTTTGCAATGTTTAAATACATAAACCAGAAGATTTTTTAAAAAGGTAATTTCACATTTTAGTCAAATTCTAAGTGCTCGCGTAAAGCACGTGTTTTGAATTAAGGAACACGTGTGGAATTCCAGCACTTTTAATTCAGCAAAGCCCAACATGAAGATAAACTGGTACTTACTAAACATAGGCAAGAGGCCCACTAAATTCTATACGGACTGTATAATTCACCTACAAGATAGATTGAAGAGGAAAAAAGAAAAGGCAATCATTAAATTCAATGATGGGTTAAGTTTTTAAATTATCCTTGGAATTGAGATGCCATACCAAATCATCTCGGAGCACTTCAGAAGTTATTCTGTAAAGTGCGACTACTTATACACAAATGCAGCAGACATAATTCAGAATAATCTGAATACAGCAATATCCCATAAAAGAGACTTGAAGTGAATGACCAATTTTATCTGGATGATTATCTAGGACTCTTTGAGAATAGTGTCATGGGATCGTTAATGTCTCCTGAACAGGCAGATGGGAGTCTTGGTTTAACACCTCATCTAAAATACAACTTGCAGCAACTGGAGTGTGATTCAGCACCACATTGCAATGTCAGCCAAGAATACAAGCTCAAAGTCCTGAAACTGGGTGTAACCACACAATCTTCAGTCCACAATAAAGGTGTGGTTGAAGTAACACTATGGTCAGAGGTTAGTACTGAGGAGTAACTTAAACAACTGAAAATAAATGTGAATAATATTGTAGAATAGGATACCTGGCAAACACTGAACGAGGAAGGGGAGGGTGAGCAGTTCACTAAAAGCATTACCTGTTTTTCACTCAAAGGAGCTATTACAGAGATGTTTGTCAGTTGTGTTGTTCCAATCACTGTCTTCATATATTCAACCTGACAGGTAAGTGTGTCCACAGAAACTGAATAAAAATTAGAATTGCTAATGTTGAGGGTGCTCTGCAATGTAATAAAATGTAGTCAGGGTTTCAAACCTAGCCATAAACAGTAATTTTACTAAGATTTATGAATCAGTTAAACGTTTTTCCTCAATTTTGTCCAGACTGCATATGGAATTGTGTACTTTCCCATACATCATTTATAAATCTGCTTTGCAGTACAAGATTTAATCACTACACTTTTATCAGCAATGGGGCATGATCACAAGACACAAATGTCATCAACTGCATTAGCTACAGTTACAGTTTTCAACTTGGGTGTAAATATTGAAAACCAACTTGCTCTGCAGAAACTTGATCAAAATGGGAAATGAGAAATTAATTTTAACAAACTTTCCAAAAAGTCAAAGGGAGCGTAAGATAGCAGAACCTAGAGAAACAAATAGCTTTGTTATAGGTGTTGAGAAAAGGTGACAATCTCATTACCGTCATGTCAATAAAGACTCTGGAGTTATTGGTGTCAAAGTTTATCATAACTACTTTGATGCCATCATCATTCACAACCAGCGACCGGGGGAACAAGAAGAAGCCAGCCAGGCCAGATATCAACAGGCACAGGAAGATTGATATGAAGACATATAGTTTCCTGAAAGATAAGAGAAGTTAAGCAGTTAAACATTAAATAAAATTCCCTTCAGGAAAAACTTCAAGACCTTAGCATCTCTGTGGAAGAACCAAATATGTACAGTTACTGTCGGCTGTTCAGCTACTCTCAGGCTGAGACACTCCCAACCAACCACCGGCCGCTGCCGCCGCCGTGAGAGGACGGTTCACTGGGGAGGGAAGGAGAGGGCGGCTCGAGTATCCAACAGTGGAGACCAATCCCCCCAAATCCTTTAAAGACAACTTACGTTCTCTGCGGCTGCAGTCTCTGGTCACTGTACGGGATCAGGGCCACCAATTCATTCACCTGCCCTGCAATACAGGCAAAGGAAAAAAACCTCAGCTCTGATCCCACTTCCAATTATTTCTCAGGGGAGAGAAATCAGGAGGAACTCTGGTCTCTCTTCACGGTTAGGCTCTGGGGATCTTCGACAGCCATCACCACCATCACCACCACCACAAGAAACGTCGCCCTTCCGCCTCAGGATGTCAGTCCCAAGGCCCGCGCGCGGATAAACAGCTCTCAGCTCATCTGAAGGAGGAAACCGACAACACGTCGGCACTCTCACTGCAGCACCAGAGCCCGGATCGCGCTGTGTGGGGCTCTCAGACACTCATATTGTGGCTATTATTATTATTATCATTATTATAAGGACCTCTACTGACCGAGAGCCGAGGGGAGAGGATGAGCTGAGCCAATGCTGAGAGCGCGGCCCCGCAACTACGGTATTGGCCGCGCGATAATAATAATAATAATATAAGGGCCGCGCAGTACAGGATGGGGGGCGGGGAGGGGGGGGTCTCGGGGCGGGGGGGGGGGGCCTCGGGGCGGGGAGGGGGGGGTCTCGGGGCGGGAGGGGGGGGTCTCGGGGCGGGGAGGGGGGGCCTTGGGGCGGGGAGGGGGGGTCTCGGGGCGGAGAGGGGGGGGTCTCGGGGCGGGGAGGGGGGGTCTCGGGGCGGGGAGGGGGGGTCTCGGGGCGGGGAGGGGGGCCCTCGGGGCGGGGAGGGGGGGTCTCGGGGCGGGAGGGGGGGGCCTTGGGGCGGGGGAGGGGGTCTCGGGGCGGGGAGAGGGCCTCACTCCCTCCCTCCCTGTGGGCCGCGGCCGACGGTTAGTGACCGACCTTTGGGGATGCGGCCGGTGCCCTGGCAGCTCGGGCAGGTGACGCTGTCTTTCCCGGTGAACTCCACGTAGGGGAAGCGAGCGATGTCCGCCTGTCGGCTCTCCTCCTCCTCCTCTTCCTCCTCCTCCTCCTCATCTCTTAGCGCATCCTCCGCACGGCGGCCATCGCGGCTCTGCGGCCACCGGAGTCGCCCTGACAGCCGCGCGCCCATCGCTGCAGTCAGACCAGCGCCGCTGCCTAATATACAGCGGCGGGCGGGGGAGGCTGCGCGCGCACCCAACCGACACTCGGCCGCTGTCGCCGCGAGTCAGCCAAACGGCCCGTCCGCCCGCGCCTGCGCAACAGACGCCCCCCACCCCGCGCCTGCGCAACAGACGCCACCCACCCCGCGCCTGCGCAACAGACGCGCCCCACCCCGCGCCTGCGCAACAGACGCCACCCACCCCGCGCCTGCGCAATAGACGCGCCCCCCCCACCCCGCGCCTGCGCAACAGACGCCCCCACCCCGCGCCTGCGCAACGCGCACCGCTCCTCACCCACACACCCCCCCGCGCGCCTGCGCAAATTGACGCGTGTGCTGCAAAATGAGCGGGAAGACCCGGTGCCACGTCTGTCGCCCGTGAGTCATTTTTATTGCCATTTTTACGGCTGTAAATTATTATTATCGGTCCACAGAGAGAGAGAGAGAGAGCAAATACCTCAATAACAACAACAACTTGGATTTATATAGCGCCCTCCACGCCGGACGGCGTCTCAGAGCTTCACAATAGCTCCTCGTGAGAGCTGTCACTGATTGGTCATTAGACGTCTGACAACCGCAGGTCTGAGCCCTTCACAGATTGTGTAGTAGAGTCAACTGCTGTCATCCATCCAACACAAGTTCTTGTCCTTCGCCAAAGCTGCTTCAAAAGAAGTATGTGACTCTTTCTTTAAACCACTTTGGTTTAAAAGTATGTTAACGTTTAAACTTACATTGACAGACCGAACTAAGTCAGTCTGGTTCATAGCACTCTTGCCTCTGAGTCAGAAGGTTGTGGCTCCGGGTCCCATATCAGGACTTTGAACTCTAGGCCGATGCTCCAATGCAGTGCTTCGGGGACTGCTGCATTGTTAGAGCTGCTGTCCTTCAGGTGAGGCATTAAACTAAGATCCCATCTGTTTGTTCAGGTGGATGTTGACAATCCCAAGGCACTATTCAAAAAGATAAGGGATTGTCTCTTGTTTTTCTGGTCAACAATCCCCCAAATAAATGTGCTCATTCACAGACGATACTTTATGGACCATCGTTGTGCGCAAATTGCCTGCCGCATTCACCGACAAAATACACAGTCACTACACTATTTCAGTAATAATAATCCTTGCATTTAATGTTGCACCTTATCATGTCTTCTAGACATCTCAAAGCGCTTCACAGAATATACTGTAAAATGAATTGACTATGTTTTGTGGGTGAAACGCCACAGCCAATTGCGCGCAAATTCTTTAATTGCACAGCAAATTCTTTAATGCACTCAAAGTGCATTAATGTAAGCCCTTCGTGTGAGGTAGTCTTGGAGTGCTTAACAGAGGCAGAGACTGCTGGGGAAAGGGGGGATGTGACCAAAGGCATGGTTGAAGAAGAGAAACAGCAATCAAGGTACATATATAAATATAAAAACAGATACTCATTATCTCCACCACAAACTTCTGACTTAAAGGAGAGAGTGCTCCCAACCGAGCCAGGGTGGAACTACATCAAATGCAAGGCTTATTATTATTTTTAGCCCTTTAGAGATAATAAATGAAATCTGATTGAACACCACTTAGGTGACACAAATTTTTTTACACCACTTCGCCTATAGCATTAACATATCCTGTCGCATGAGAACAGCACTTTGTCTCGCCTGTATCCTGATTAACCACATGGTGGTGCCAACCTCCTATGAGTCTCATCTGCCCCAGGATGTGTCTGAATTTCTGAGTTGCTTTATTTAGTGGCATTTTAGTACCTGAAGATTAGGCAAATATAGCTGATGTAATTGGCCTTTCATCGCAGCTTGCTCCCGTACTCTTCAGAATTCCTCTTTGACAAGCGTCTATTTCAGGGTTGCCCAACCTTTTGGCCATGTGACGGATTCCGTAGTTGAGATTTTGTGTTTCCCTTCCAGAAGCATAACAACATTTACACAGCACCCAGGTCTCGATTTAAAATAGTCTCTAAAAGAAGCAGAGGGGAGGTGAAAAGAATTTTTTTCACGCAGCGAGTGGTTCGAATCTGGAACACATCGCCTGAAAGGGTGGTCGAGGCAGATTCGATAACTACTTTTAAAAACGCGGTGGACGGGTATTTGAGGAGGACGGGTCTACAGGGTTATGGGGAAAGGGCTGGGGAGTAGAATTGACATTACATTGTTCTTTTCAAAGAGCCAGCACAGACTCGATGGACCGAATGGTCTCTTTTTGTGCTGTACGATTCTACGATTCTATGATTGACATGGGAGCCAAGGAGCGAGAGGGCAAAAATGACCGAAAGCAAGGTTAAAGAGGTACATTTTGAGACATGCCTTGTAAGTGTAATGTATGTAACATGATACTAGCATATATACACTATACTTATATGTAAAGTGATAGAAATGTGAACAGTATTTGGGTTTCTTGGAAAATGAATGCACAAACATTTAGTTTGCATCTCACTAATAAATGTGTTTTATAGATATATAAACCACTTTAAGCACTGGGAAAGGATGACTGGTAGAGTACAAGCTATTTTAGTGGATGGGACTATGGAAATATCAATATAGAAAATTCCAGTTTGGAACTATGCCTTCTGCATAACATTTATTGGATTCAGATTGTGCACTCTGTAGGGAATATCTAACCGAATAAATTTCAAAACTATGTATAGAAAGTGAATTTGGCTGTTAACATTTTGTGTGAAAAATATATTTTTAACCGCATCAATCATCAAAATTAATATGCAGAATGGTTTGATAATGCACTTATAACAGAGGAATGCAACTCAGAAGCTACAAATTGTACCCCAAGATGTCATTGCATTTGAAAACTTTTTTTAAAAAGCTTTCTAAATCTATTCAACAGAATATCACAAATGGATAAGAACATAAGAATTTGCGAGGCAAAAGAAGACCAAGGTCCATCTAATTTGCCTTCCACCATCCTGGCAGTCGCTTGACATAATAATAATAATAATAATCCTCGCATTTGATATAGCGCTTTTCACGTCGGGATGACGTCCCAAAGCGCTTCACAGAACATACCGTAAAGTGAATCGACTGAACATTTGTGGGCGAACGCGGCAGCCAATTGCGCACAGCAATGTCCCACAAACAGTCGTAGATTGAAAATGAACAATTTATTATTGTTTTGGGTTTTGGAGGGATTATTATTAGGCTCTGTGTGGAGTAAGGAAACTTGCCCAAGGTTTCGCCCTCTGCCTGGAATTGAACCCAGGTCTCTCGCTTGCAAAGTGAGTGCTCTAACCACTGAGCTACAGGACTCCACAAACTAAATCATGTCCCAAACTAAATATTGTATTCCAAAATATTATTTTCTAACAGAAATCTATCTAGTTTGTTCTTGAAATAATCAACACAATCCATGGGCTAAGAACTTCATTAATCTTTTTTTCTAAACTTCATCACAAGTACTTCAAACAAAGCGTTACACACAGAAAAAGCAGGTAGTATAAGCGAGAGCTGGGACTCTGGACTACGGCCTGCTCTCTGGGTAGTGCCACGTAACTATACTCTCAGTCACCTTTACTCCCAGCAAATAGCAGTGCTTCAGATGTGTTAACTACTTCCCATTCAATCTGGTTAAACTGAGTAAAACACTAACTTTCAGCTATTCAAATGAAACTGGTGATATATTACTCATATTGACTTAATCAGTCTCATTGTAATCCTCACTGTAGAACTTTTAGCAAAAGTTTTCTGGAAAATCCAACTACATTGTACATCTTGGATAACCTCGCTGATTTTAGCAAGCCTGTTCTGGGAAGATTGAGGTGGAAATTGATTTTGTAGTGAGCACTCCTGTGTTATACCTACTGAGGGACTTTTAATCTTCAGCATGTTGAATTTACTGCAGTGCCCTAGTGTTCATTTCAATTAATCAATAGATAAGTAGGTTGGTTGTTATTTGGACATTTTTGTCCCCATCTATGGATCATGAGATTTGACTAGCATGCAGTCTCATGTCTGCAGTTTCAGGTCAATTTTGTATAATTAGGAACAAAATGGGCCCTCGTGGAGATCCCAGACTATGTTTGTTGACCTTTTTGTTGTGTACTCTATATCTCTTACCAAATTATAAGAGTTCTTTATCACATGTGTCATAAATAGGTGTGCAGTTGTGTCACTTGGCCTTCTAAAGATGATTGATGTCTTGGATAAAATTTAGAGCAACATAACAAGGATGAGTCTAGTTTCAGGGCTTAACCTAATAAGACAGATTACCAGAACTGCATCGGTCTTTTTCTTTATCAGAAAACAGGAGACATAGTCCAGATCTTCTTGTTTCAAATACCATCATGGCATTTTTAACGTCTACCTGAAGAACAAGTAGAAGAATATCAAGGCCACAGAGAGGGTGCAAAGGGGATTATTAAATTTGCATTTAATAAAATTCCATTCCAACAATCTATTTATGGGATTTCCATGTATAGGTGGGATGCATGAAATTCTCATCTTGGCTTAGATACTCGTGAGCATGGTAATCAGTTTTCACATGTGTCTGACACCCGGCTGACCAGGAAAAAACCTTTGGACTCAAAAGATCAGAATGCTCTCAAGTGAGCCAGGCTCAGTGTTTGCCTTCTGGCCAACTATAATTCAATGGGAGCATGAATCTTGAACTAAGAATCACTGTTGCTGTATTATCATGGGTAAGCAGGCCGACAAATCTTCACCTTTTCAAATGTAAACCCCAAAAACCTAATTTTGTAAGCATTCAGATATTGTGCTTCACTATTCATTTAACGGGTACTGGATCACCATAGTTAAAGGTTAATCCTTGAGTACAATAATAACCAGAAAAATCAATCCAAATTACTCATTAATACTAAAGCTTATGTGTAACCTATACTTGCATCATGACCCATTTTTTATGGCACAGCATCAATTGAATTCTAAAGGGTTCCGGAACCATCTTTCCATCTTGTACAGACTGTTGAGAATAGAAATGTCTCAAACAATGAGCATTCAATTCAGCCATTGGCATCTCATATACAGATCACTAAAATA